AAAGCTTAGCCTGAGTCACGTACTCCTAGTCTTCGGTAAGATTTACCCACCGTCTTCCTATCGAATTTACGATTTAGAAACTGATCATACCTGCATATCCTGTTAAAAAAGTTCCATCATAGACACAGAGTTGTTCGCTATCCAATTCAGTCGAAAGTCCAGGTAGTTCATTAATCGGATCACGTTCGGGTCACCACTTTGTCATTCAATCCTACTGATGTTTAGATCTAACATTAAGCAGGCAAACACGAACAGTAACAAAAAAGAACTTTATTAGAAAAGGTTAGAACTGTCACAGACATCCTCGGGCAACACCCGGACAAAATCCAACGAACTTTCGCGCCTTTTCTTTTTTTCGACGTTGCCAGCCACTCTTGTTGGCAAGTGTTGCCAGACAGTGTTCAGGATCTCTGGCGCTGGCGGCCACAACTGTGTAAATTTTAGACATGCCAATCCATTAGGAATTAACATATCAAAATTCCCAAAAGGTTTTGGTTTGAAAGACCCATTCTTGGAAATAAAGTACATATTAAGGATATATACAGTATGGATTGGCATCTATATTCAACACTGCTAACTTTTTTCTTTAAAGTTGTGACTATGATTAAATATAAATAAAATGAGCTAAAAGATTTCACAAAGCAGCAAGATTGCCAACAACTGCAACATAGACAATCCAAGCTAACATACGCTAAGCACATTGCCACCCTCTGCCTTTCCTGCAGCTGTGGGAATTTCAAACGTTTCTTGTAATTTTATCCCAATTAAAAGAGGCATAAAAAATTAATGGCAAATCCATTTTATCTTCACCGTTTTAAACTAAAAACTTATCGCCAGATTAGAATGGAAGCTACATTTTACCCGACCACTCTCCAAATTTACCCGCCAAGACCAGTAAGGAAATAATTCAGTTTTGAAGAAAATTAAATTAGAACTAAGATAGCAAAAGTACTTAAAAATCTTTACACAGTACTTCAGGAATGAAACTTGATCTCTTAAATTGTTATCATGTTGATATAGTTCAGAATTGGCAATTATAATTGGAGTTTCAACTAATTATCTCACCATACTATAATAATACACTTTTAGGACAAAACTTGTAAAGTTACCAAGTAATGGAAAATTGTACATCATAAAAAGAGACCCAACTAGGACACGACACAATCGGCAATGTATTCTTTGTCAATACGCATGAGTTGCCAATGGAATTTGATTTGGATATTTTTGAAACAATAATTCACAGATAAACTAAATTATTTATTGGTAGACAGCAATATATTTATATTCAAAATTGATTTTCAAAAATCTTTCATTGATGGTTATTAAAATATCCAAGTTGATATGTAGCGTATATTACAGTATGTGTAATTGATAATGACTTCAAATGGCACATTGGTGAATCACATTGTACAAAAAATGTGTTCAGATATTTGTCAGTGAGTTTGCAAGTGCAGCAACCGATGTGCGTCACACTCGTCGGATTGTGGATATGGTGAACTCTGATGAAGCAATATGGCCATCTCCACTGTTATATTTAGCAACTTTATAAAATAATCATAATAATAAAAATTGAATAAGATGGTTAGCACATAATATTATTTAATACCATATGTTATAATTTAATATAAGATTATTCCACGATTATTTAAAAAATTTTTAATATGTCTAATTGAAATCTATAGGCTGTGTTGCTAGTAGTAAGTAGAAGACCATGCTTGAAAATGGAGTATGAAACATTATCGTTGTTTTTTATAGAGAGAAGTTCTTTTAGGCTTTATCATAGCAACAGTAGCAGCTAATGAATATAAAGTAAGACCCTGCTTAATGCTAATTCAATATAGCGTGGTCTGCTTGATGCCTAAAAAACTCTCAAAATTTATGCTGATTCAATTAACACAATATTTCATTGATCCCCAAACACGAACCAATCAGCAAAAGTCGGCAATTTGTCGTAGCACTGTACTTCCCTTAAATCCATGTTTGTTTTGTGCAATTTGGAAAAAATGTAACATCATGCCATAGGTAATAGAGACTTGGCTTGGCAAGAATTAACTGATAAATGCATGAATGGAGTGTGAAAGAAGTTATGGCTGAAGGTATCCAAGAATTGTCATAGAGAAGAGCCTATTGCTGTATTGTTAGGTTGACAAAATTGTCAACTTAATCGATACAGGAGATGTAGACGAGCAGGATATTGGAGAGTTACTACAGATTTCTGAGCCTTACCAACGATGACTTCAAGAACTGGCAGAACAAGGAATTCATGTTGAACTTGAAAACAGATTTCTTTAGTAAAAGTTTGGTAACGATAACTGAAATCATTGATCAAATCGTAGTGAATGATCTAGATTTTGAAAAGAGTGCAAAAGCAAAAAGAGGCGTTTTGGATGTGATCTTCTGCTACTGATATTTGCTTAAGGAAAGAAAAAAGCGACAAATGAAACTTCACGACTTTATTGCAAAAAAAAATTTCAGAAAGGTCCGTACCTTCGTCACAGAAAATGAACAAATTAATATATTATTATTAGTGATGTAACGAATATTCAGTTACTATTCGGTATTTGGCCGAATACCGAATATTTAATCATTATTCGACCGAATACCTAAAAACAGGAGTAATAAATAACAAAAACACAGTAAATTAATCGTTTTGGCATTTAGATTTAATGTTATCGAGTTAGTATTGTTTGTTTATATTTATTTACTAGCTGTAAGGACCCGCTTTGCTGGGTTTTTATTTGTTCGTATATTTGTATGTAATATAGTTTTTTTTATAAATATAAAAGACTGTTTTTCTAAGCAATCTAGAATCTAGCTGCAAGGACCCGCTTCGCTGGCTTTTTATTTGTGGGATAGTGAAGATTAAGATAATTACATTATAGCCAATCTTACCCATTTTCACAGAATGCAAGAATTAGGTCCCTCGTTTCCAGACTAATTAGAGACCTGGTCCCAATTCTATTTCTGAACGTCTCCTGTTCATGTCCAGTCAAACGAACTCTTTTCAACGTTTCTGGAACGTTTACAATCGTTCTATAATCGAACCAATATTCGAATTTTATGTTCGAATTCAAATTCGAATATTGTTGGAATAAAATTTGAACATAAAATTCGAAATAGAAAACCACTTTCAACCACTCTCAGTCCCATATCTCCTGCACCCTTATAGCTATCAAGATGCAACCACCATAGTGCACGAATGGAGACTCGGGGCTACTACCATGTACAAACACCATTCATGTGCGATGTGTAGTTTTGGCTGAAAAGTGAACTATAGGGACACACACGTCCATTTATATATATATATATATAACATGCACAAAATAAAAAAGAAAATAATATTAGTCACAGGTATTCACAATTTATAATTACAAAGATCAGCACACGTACACGTCTATCGTTGGAGAATCCACACATCTGAGGGTCTGACCCTGCCTATCCTTCNTATATATATATATATAACATGCACAAAATAAAAAAGAAAATAATATTAGTCACAGGTATTCACAATTTATAATTACAAAGATCAGCACACGTACACGTCTATCGTTGGAGAATCCACACATCTGAGGGTCTGACCCTGCCTATCCTTCTTTTTAAGTGCTCGTCTTTGCTCTTCCCTTTCTCTTTTCTCTATCGCTCTAATCCATGTATATCTGTGCATACATCATAATACGCACTCACAATACTTTTGATTCGTCACTTTTCCATCGTAGAGTTCCCATTTTACAATTACGTGACAGCCTGGTGATAACGGAGAAAAGAAACAGATAGGACGTCAATATAAGTCACAGTTATGATTTCACAGATTCGAGACAGCTTGGTAGCCCGAACGGCCCCAGGCTTTCGTTTGTGTACGCTAAGTGACTTTCATTACAAGCATTTAGCTTTCCGTTCCAAAGTCTATCACAACAATTGTTTGGCATTGACGGCCGCGAATTTCGCGTGAATAAGCTGCCTCGACTTATTTGATTATGTTCTCAACTCAATTTCTTATTTATTTTCACATTTTCAATTCGCGGTCCTTCTCTGTTCTTTTTCCATTATTTACACATGTAGGTCATTTCATTGTTATCCACATTTGATATCATCATTTATCACATACTTCCATGACACTCTTGCTGTCTGTCCGCTACAACTGCCAAGAATTAACACGATTGGCGAAGCATAATGACAGCAATAGAGAGCAGGATCCTTGCCATAATGCAGTTTGCGTGCCAATTTTCGTACGTGCGTTAATCAAGCCGAATAGTTTGGCTGAATATTCGGCCACGCTCCTGGCCGAATATACTATTCGTTACAACACTAATTATTATACATTTGTGTTACTATGTGCATATGTTTGTGTTATTTAACGTATGTATATTATTATACAAATTAATATAAAATAACTTAAAATTGAAGTACATTTTTTTTCATTTGAGTGTTTCCCTATCCTTATTTACTCTATGTTAAAATGGGTCTTGTTTAACGCTGTTTCGCTTAGCGCTTTGTCATATAGGAATGCATTCCCTGCGTTAAGTGGAGTCTTACTGTATTTCATTATCATCATCATTTTTTCTATTCATCTGTATTAATCCAAAGTTATTTTGACAAAATGAGTCTGCAAATGCCAATATAGTGCCATTTTCTTCTGCCATCTTGTTAGGTTGCCAGACATTAAAGTAAAAGCTTGTTAAACTGTTTGCCAATGCATTGGTTATGGCTGAGAGCATTGCATACTGGTACTCATTGTTTGGCAAAAGTCTGAGTTACTAAATATCTTTGGAATGATAATATATACAAAGTTTCACAAGTGCATCTAATACTTAGTATGAAAATGTTTCTCATATCTATGTTGTCGTGTCTTGGCCATCTTAAAGGCAGCAGTCTTGGATTTGCCTTGGGAATGTTCAATGGGAAGGTGATTGTATGTGATATGATTTTAGATCAGAATTTCATGAGTCATGCATTAGTGAAGTCTCTCTAACACATTTTGTGCTAGTAATGATTTTTGAAATTAAATGTTCGAGTTAGGAAAAATGTTTTAATATGAATTTTTGTTACAGCTGAATTTTTTTTATTAACTGATAAGGTTTCAAAATGTTTTCCATTTTGAGCTACACAAAGCCTAATTGACAAAACTCAATGGAGTATGTCTGTCGTGATCTTTGAGTGAGCTTTGAGGATTCTAAATCCGATGTGGTATGTTGTGAATTTTGCACTGATATACAGTACTACTTATACTTAGGGTGATCCCATAGGTAAAAAGCCAAGAGGTGTTGGGTCCAGCAAACTGGGTGACCACTCAACAGATTCTTTCCAACACCAGAACTGGCTATCTAACCATGCTTGCATGGCTTCACTGTAACAAGAGGTGCCATTTTACTGAAAAAACTGAAAACTTGTCATCTTCATTTAACACGGATGGGAAGACTGTGGTAGGTGCAGATATGATTCTCCCATCGAGTTTCTATTGATGAAAAATGGCCCAATTGCTCCAGATTCCGTACTGGATTGTTGCTTTGTCAGTATTTTGGGTCTTTGATGGGTCGATCCAGTTAGAATTTTTATTGCTCCAGTATCTGTAGTCTTGCTTATTGCCCTGTCACTAAACATGACTATGTTGTAAACTCTGAATATCATTCTGGCATTTATAAGATCCACTGACATAATTTGCTGTCTGTCAGGGTCATCTCTGCATACTTTGTCACACTGAAATTTGTATGGGTGCCATTTGTTTTATACAGAATCTTGACAATGGTGGTTTGCCTAAAATCATATTCCTTTGATAGTCTCCTGGTACTTTTCTGCAGACTTTCTGCTATAGCAACTAGCTCCCCGTTGAAATCTGGAATCGTGTATGTGCTATGATGACCACTTCACAACCTAAATTTTCCAGGTCAGTTTTCTCATGGCTCGTGCAGTAACCAGTGCTCTTCTCTGGGTTGTCACAATCAAATAGCTGGGTGACCTGACATGAGCTTCATCCTCTTGCCAATGATCATAATTCTTCCTCGAATTGATAGTCGAATCTTCAGTTATCCGATCCAAGATTAATTAATGTCTGCATTCACGGTGCCAAAAACTGGACTTTGCTGACGAATTCCTCGAGAAATTCTGGCCTAAAATTGTGTCGCACGAATCCCTTTCCCGTCAAACATTCTTGAGGCAAATCCAAGATGCCCCAACATATGCCAACATAATACCTAAAAGTTCTCTCCACATCTTTTCTCCTTCACTTTGTCTCTTTTAAGCTTAGTTCCATTTGAGGGAAATTACCATATCCATAAAAAAGTTTGTTGCCAAGTGCATAAATGGAAAACTGACAGCAAATAGAGAACATATTTTAGTAAAATGTTGTTATATGGATGGGTGTAGCAAACACACCAAAAAAAATGTAGGCAGTGTATATCTAGTCTGTTTGTCGTAAGTTGATACAGTAAAACCTCGATTATCCGAACTAATTGGGGATGAAGGTAGTCCGGATAAGGAAAAATCCGGATAATCGAAAATCCGAATAATAGAGGTCCGGATAATCGAGGTTCTACTGTATATAAAGGGATACTNTGACTGCTTCCCACAATTCAGGTACGTTGACATCTGTTAAATGATAACCTTCGCGTTTGAATGCTAATACTGCATTAGGCCCCAACCATACGCTGCCATCAATACGTGGAGTGAAGTGTACTCCAAGAAAGGGAAATTTTGGATTAGGAACCTGATATAAACATAAAAAATGATAAAAATTGCTATTTCATAATTTAAAGAGAAAAGACACATATTTATCATGCAGACTTACTGGATATATGTTACCTTTAATGAGATCACATTTTTCTTTCTTTAATAGAAGATATTCTCCACGAAATGGCACAATCTGAGGATCTAGGCTGCAGCCTGATAACGTGGCCAATTTATCCGAATATAGACCACCACAAGTTACACAGTATCGACTTCTTATGGCCTACAATTACAAGTAGGCACCAACGTACCAAAAAAGAAACTTAAATTTTTGAAAAATTACTTTATAAAAATGCTAACATACTTTGTTTGAAGATATAATTCTGACAGGATATTGACTAGAATCTACTGAATGTTTTTTCTGGCTTTCTGCAACAGTTTTAAAAGCTTTGACATTAAAACCGAGATGAATTTTTCCTCCACTCTTTTCAAAATCTCTTCCATAAGATCGACATACTTCTGCCCAATCGACGATACCGGTATGGGGCGACCATAATGCCTTTAATCCCTGTATCAATTTTAAAATTACAAAAACTGTAAATAATATATATATAACTAAGAAAGCAAATTTCCATAATTAGCATAAAAATCCTTTAAATTTGAATTAATCAACATATACTTTAAAATGTATTAGAATGCCTTAAATTCACTTCGTACAATGTTTACAATTTTAAATTTACAATAGCTTGTTTTTAGAACTTATAAGCTGGCTCTGTATATTTGGTATTCACCAATTGCCAAATATTTGCCTTTTGCCCAAGTATTTATCACGTGGAAACCATATACGTACACACGATTATTTGCCAAGCATTGATTCATCGTGGGAATTACAAATGATTATTCAAGATTTATCCACTTTGATTCGGCACAATATACTGGCAAAGAGTGGGAAATGGGAAATAGCAAATACCAAATATTAGTCACAATTAAATCCTTCACTCTACTTGGCCAAATGTTTGCTTGGCATTTGGCAAATAGCAAATGTGTTGAGTCGACTTTATGTTGATCTGATAACGAGACACGTATAGTCTTGAAAAACATTTTATCACAATAAAAGAAGAATTGGTTTTCGAATGTTTATAATTTTGTATTGTTTGAACGTAATCCTAAAACTTATTCTAGTCCATTAGTATTTCTTTTGCATAATATTTAAAAATCGACTTACTTGACAATTTGGCTCAATTTCTCGAATTTCACTCGCATTCACAACTTTCAAATCTTTAACAGAATTCTTCTGACCACGTTCGTACAATGCATCTAATCTTGGTAATTCTTCTCTGTCTACGGCAACTATTAACTAAACATAATATATTGCATGCTTTATTCTTATATTACTTGCTGCAAACTTTGGGAATTTCTGTTTCTTCACAATTCTTGGCCCTACATTTCTTTTCTTAACAATTTCTCTTTTTCTGATCTGTAGCTGGTTTGACATAAATACAGATTTCCTTTTGTTCTTATTTGCTTTTGTGGTCTTGATCTTGCAATTAGACATATTCAAAGAACAATTCTTTTTTTTTTTTTTCGTAGACCTCAAAAAAAAAACATCACTCATGATACTTGCAAATTTATTGCAAAACTAAGACCAGAAAAAGAAGTTATCAAAGAAAATAATTCAGAGCCAAGAGAGATGTTATACATAACAAACATATATGCTAATATTATTAAAGCTTGTAATTCATTCTTATATCTTATTTACCTTTCCACATTTTTTATACGGTATATTATGTTCATCACAATATTTATAGGTTAATTCTAAACCTTCCACACACAATTTTGCCTTCAAAGAACCAGGAGTGTAATATATTCCAGCATGTATAACTCCACTGTTGTGACCACTCTGATGAGCAGCTTCAAATAAAAAGAAAATATATATATTTTAATATTTCAACTTAAAAGCTACAGATTTTGTATACAAAAAGCTCTCTCTTACCTAATTTTTGTTCTTTTTCCACTAAACCAATTTTCAATGTCGGATGTCTCGAGATCAATTCTCTCGCGGTAGCCGTGCCTACGATACCTCCTCCGACGACAACAATATCGTATTCTTCTTCTGTTTTACTGGAACTAAAATTGCATATTTTTATTTATACTCAAAGAAATTTTAAATTATTATTTTTCTTTGTCGTCCTATTTTGGACATTAAAATAATACCGATCTGTTGCGGCACGTTACGTCTCGGAAGCTACAGATAAATAAAAAATTAGACAATTGCATACAGAATTTGGACTTCTATTTATCATAGCCATTTATTTAATCAAAATGTTTTAAAATGGCTTTCTTATAAAACTAAAAAAATTTGTTTATTTTTGAGACATTCCCAACAATTTTTAAATTTTATCTTAAATACATAAAAATTCATTTTGATTTTTAACTTTCAAGGTTGTGTAATTGTAGAAAACAAGTACAGCGGATAATAATGTCATAATTATTTTCGAAATATACAATTGCCTATTGTGTAATTTTGCAGATATCGAAATAAAAAAAAATAATTTGCTTTAAAAAAACTTATAAAACTTCAAAAACTTGTAGAAATTTAACAAAATTTTCCTGTTTTTTTTTTAATATTTCCTTAATTAAAAAACAAAAACCTAACTTAGAAGACAAGTAGTTTGCTTTGAAATTTTTTACTAACAGATTTCACTGCCGAGTTATACGATCAATTAAATATGGTTATGTAATATTTTGATAATCTAGTATCCAAAGTTCTTCCAGTTTCTCCTATATAAGTATAACAAGGATCACAATTACAATTAAAAGTATAAGCCACTCCAGTTTTTTACAAAATATCAATCGTATCTGCAGGTTATTTAATTTTAGTTAACATGAAGCATATTGTCATTTTTAAGTCTGGTGTTACTATAATATAAAGTTCAATTTTTTAATTTCTTCAAAACTACCTTGTACATACATTACACTCAACTACAGGTATACCTCGCCTTATGTCAGTAATTGGTTCTAGGAGGACGACTTAAGTCGAAAAACGACGTAAGTCAAATTTACTTGTCTCCGAATCTACTTGCCACTAGGCTAAACCATAAATTACTAATTCCCGTTCTGTATTTTATTTATTAATGCATTTTTAATAATATATGGTTAATAAGGATCTATTTTAGCTTACAAACAAATAAATTTTAGTTTTTAATATAGTACAGAAAAAAGTAATTTAAATTTACGAATGCATGTACTGTAAATACAGTATATACTTCTAAATGTAAATATTATAATATGATTTTATGTGCTTTAAACATTTTTCTAGTGATATTACGACTTCAATATTTGTATCGGACAGACATAAAGTCGAATAAAATGACTTAAACTTAATTATTATTTTTCCATATACTTTCTTGACAAACGACGTATAATCGGGAACGACGTAACTCGAGGTATATCTGTATTTTCTTCTTTGGTTAAAAACTATTTCTGTTAAATCTATTATCTAATATTTGTTAAAACCATAATTATTAGAAAATGTAGTAAAAATGTATCTATTTATTTGTTTTCTGGTCACCTAATTTGGTTGTTCTGTTTATATACATATTACATGTGTTTCATTTTTATATATGTTCGAAAGCTAGCAGTATAATTTACTACAGTAAATTATACTGCTAGCCTTCCAAATAATAAAAAAATGAAATATTTCCAAACGTTATTAGAAATAAAATGCAACGGCAAATGGGAACAGAGAGTCCGAGTATAATCTTTTCACGGGAGTCAGAAAACTTATCGATTCCCAATTCCTTACTTTGCAATAAATTAAAAAAAAAATTTTTTAAACTGTTAATACCATTATTTTTGACGTCTTTAATAATACAAAATGCAGCCCATGTTACTGCACTGCCTCGTACTCACGTTGGTGTCAAATCATTTTCGGTTCTGCGTTTAATCAAACCTTACTTGCGCGCCGACTCGAAAGAGGCCATAACGGAGGCTAGTCTTTTTATGAGAACAGATTCTTCTTAAGCATGTTTCATTCGATCTTTTTAGCGTTAAATTTGTTTACCTCAACATTAATATTAATATATTAATAAAAATGTAATAATTTTATTTATAATAATCCTTTGGTTTTTTTATAAGAGCAAAAACTATATTGTTACATATGCATATGCAATGCCAATAAGGTTCAAAATTGAAGTGCTCTAAGTTATCATTTTCATATAAAATGGTTAAACTTTTTCAACTGGTTTTTAATTATTATCATTTCACATTAACTGTTTGAAAATCGTAATAGTATAATCATATAATAGGACTCTTATGTTGTTAATTTATATTAATAAAAATATTTACAATGTTTGTTTTGAATATTCAAATATTCTTAGTTTTGTATATAATAAGTAAACATAGCATTTTTATCAAAAAGCTTATTACAGCCAACTTTAACACTACTTAAAAGTTATATTTAGATCAATGTAGTCTTAGCCTGATCTAAAACAGATTAAGAATCGATCAAATTTGCATTCTCACCCACATTTTGAGTCAATCAATTTTTGGTATGAAAAGAAAAAATGATATTTTCTGCATGAGTAAAGCCACAAGCTTTTATTTATTACTGTTTTTGACATATTTTAATGCTAATAATGCTCCAAGCATGTGTTAGATTGACTTCTGATAATTTCGGTTTATTAGCGCAAAGTCAAAGTGCTACTTTCCTCCATTATTTCTCGTAGCTTCAGAGAAATAACAAGATTATCTTGTTCAATGAAGATATTTCTAAATTCAATCAAATCATTACGAAGAACACACTTCTCTCTTATTCTAGAATTTGTGGTAAGTCGATGCATCCCAAAACGTGCAGATTTCATTTGTAACTATTGCCATTCCTTTGTCGTATTTTTCCCAAAGTCACACCTTGCCAATTTATTTTCTTTATACAAAAGTGGTTTTGGATAGAATTTCCTTGTTTAAATTATAGGTATGCTATAAAATATTTTTTATCCTGAAAATATTTTTATATAGACAAACTGGCTAGGTGGTACTTGTGTGAGAGTTTAAAGTTGGAAAAAATACCTTGTTTTCTTTACATAAATGCAAATAAAAACAGTAATTGAAAATCTTGATTATCTTTAAGATGAACTGATCTGCCAGATTATGTTAGGCTGTAATATGGCTACTAAATAGTTAAAGCTCAACATAATCCAGCAGATTATTTACCTTAATCAAAATCAAGTCAACAGATGTTTATATTTGTTCTTATCTTTAATACATAAAGACATAAATTACAAAACCAAATTTTCAGAATAATCTTGCATCTTTTTTAATGTGTGAAAATTCAAATTTATATTTTATCAAAATTCCAATAGAGTAGAAAAATTCATTATTCATTATATTTATTTCGTCTTAACAAAGCATATTTCCCATTATTTTGCAATATGAAAAAATGCATTTTTGAAACTTCGGTACGTGAACTACATTTTTTTCTTTTATTTTTAACAATATATAAAATGTATGTTGTCTTTGTTTATGAAGCAATAGATTTTATCAATTGAATACTTTAAAAAAATCCTAATCCTATTCCTATTCAAATGTCAACTAAAAATGGATACGCATTAGAGGTGTGGACATTTTCAATCGCTGTTTAATGTATTTTAAAGTATTTGTCAGCAAAAATATCAAGTATATTAGAATGAATTAAAAACATTCTTGTATGGATGAATGCATGACCGATTTCCGATAGCTATTCGACCATAAAAAATACGTGTCGACTTCCTTCGAATTTAATACGTATACCTTTAAATTATTGGATGCATTTAAGCCATTTTTTAAAAACTTAATAAATTTACTACTTATTTTTTAATTACTTCTTTGATGATAATTTACAGGAGTGGCATTGAAGAACTCACAAAGAAAATAGTATAATAAGCATACTAAATACATAAATGTATTTAATTTCTTAAAAATGATTGGGTTGCATTTAATCAATCTTATTAAAGCTATAACTGAATGACATTACCAGATATAATGCTAAATCTTTGTGACGATAGCACAAATAATTTAAATGACGGTTTAGTATCAGAAAATTGGTATATGTTGATGATTCTCTGTTATTGATTCACGGACCACTTAAACAGTGTCACATATGAATTGTGTACCAGCTATTCCAGGCTGTAAATACAAGGGTTGTTCAGGGTTAAATGAGACTTTTGGGCCTATAATTTTGAAAAGTAACTTTAGCATGATAAAACCCAAAGAGGGAATAGCATTATCCATCCCAAGATTTCGGTAGCAAACATGATGCATTTTGTGCATGAACAGCAGTTTTAGCAATCATGGCATAAGGTAATGTATCTGCAATGGTGGAACAGTGGTGCGTAATCAAATTTCTTGTGAAGGAAAAGGTTAAACCTGCTGATTTTTTGAGAAGATTGAATGCACAGTATGGGGAACAAACACTGTTGTGGGCAAGAGTGTAAGAATGGTGTCGACAATGGTGACAAATGAAGCACATGGACATGTTCGTCCAACTGCAGTAACGACAGTGAATATTGCACGAGTTGAGCAAGTTATCCTGGAGAACTGGTGAGTAACCGAGAGACACATTGCAGATGAAGTGTCCATCAGTGTCATAGTGTTGAGAAAATCATCCACGAGCACTTACTGTTTCACAAAACGTGTGCCAGATGAATTCCCTGACAGCTGACATGTGATCATAAATGGGTACGCAAGGAGACGTGAGCAGCTTCTGAATCAGTTTTGTATCAAAGGTGATTAACTCCCAGTGATTATCATTTGTTTGGGCCCCTTAAAGAGTACCTGGGAGGAACAAATTCCAGACAGATGATGAACTGCAGCAAGTTGTCCTGTGCTGGCCACGACGTCAGCCCACTTCTTTATACGAGAAAGGTATCAGGGACCTACCCCACCGCTGGGAACAGTGTCTACATACAGATGGAGTGTATTTTGAAAAGTTGTCGGATTTTATACATGTTTCGGACATTCCTTTTGGTCTGTCAAAATAAAAGTCTTGTTTAGCCTTGAACCCATTTTACCCTTGCAACATCATCATAGGTTATCAGATAGATAACAATAGACAAAATTTTTGGCACACAATCTAATATAAGAATATTTCAGACATCATGTAGTTATTTTCTCTGACTAAACAGCACAGAATTGAATTTGGAAAAATGACTAAATCGGTTCATGGACCACCTGGTGCATATTTGTGAGCCATCAATGTCCTATGGACCATACTTTGACAATCATTCATTTGTGTCATGTGTAATTCAAACATTTTAAAACCAACTGCAATAATTTGTGCAAAAATTCCTGGATTTATTTATTTGATTTGTTTGAATAAGAGTATATGAAATTTTTATGTTGTTTTTCTGTTAGTTTATTTTAATTATAGAATTCAAATACTTAAAATTAATTAAACTTTACTTCAATAAAATTACATGTTTTATGCTTTAAAAGTATTTATTCTTTAATCCCCTTTTAATTGATAAATCATAATGCTAGATGAAAAATGTTTTGAATTCTTAGTTTGATTCTTTAAAATAATAGATAAAATCTATAAAAACCAAAATATGCTAAAAAAATTTAATTTTTAAACATAATTCGAGTCTCACCTTGTGACATCATTTAAGCGGAGTTTAGGAACAAATTTCTGTAATTGACGAACTTGCGCAAAAATATTCACTCCTCTATACATTTCCTGTATACCGTATAAGATATTTTTCACAGCTAAGCGTTGAAAGCCCCTGAAATTCAGGCAAGTAATAATGTTTGAAAATTCTAAATTGAAAACCAAATAATCATTAAATGCTTACGGATGCTTGACTGCTTCCCACAATTCAGGTACGTTGACATCTGTTAAATGATAACCTTCGCGTTTGAATGCTAATACTGCATTAGGCCCCAACCATACGCTGCCATCAATACGTGGAGTGAAGTGTACTCCAAGAAAGGGAAATTTTGGATTAGGAACCTGATATAAACATAAAAAATGATAAAAATTGCTATTTCATAATTTAAAGAGAAAAGACACATATTTATCATGCAGACTTACTGGATATATGTTACCTTTAATGAGNCGTATCAACTAAAATGATGGAAATAAAGCCAAGTGTTTATTTATAACTCAAATGTGAGTTCGAAGTCCAATGGGAATTACATATTGTTCTTCCTTTATTATTTATTCTATATTTTTCATCAACATGTAGTATTCTTAAATGCTTGTAATATTGTCTATTAAATAATTTTCATTTTTTTAATATTTTAATTGATGTTTTATTTATTTTGCAGCCATTCTCGTTGCAATGCATAGCCACTGCCGAGTTATACGATCAATTAAATATGGTTATGTAATATTTTGATAATCTAGTATCCAAAGTTCTTCCAGTTTCTCCTATATAAGTATAACAAGGATCACAATTACAATTAAAAGTATAAGCCACTCCAGTTTTTTACAAAATATCAATCGTATCTGCAGGTTATTTAATTTTAGTTAACATGAAGCATATTGTCATTTTTAAGTCTGGTGTTACTATAATATAAAGTTCAATTTTTTAATTTCTTCAAAACTACCTTGTACATACATTACACTCAACTACAGGTATACCTCGCCTTATGTCAGTAATTGGTTCTAGGAGGACGACTTAAGTCGAAAAACGACGTAAGTCAAATTTACTTGTCTCCGAATCTACTTGCCACTAGGCTAAACCATAAATTACTAATTCCCGTTCTGTATTTTATTTATTAATGCATTTTTAATAATATATGGTTAATAAGGATCTATTTTAAGCTTACAAACAAATAAATTTTAGTTTTTAATATAGTACAGAAAAAAGTAATTTAAATTTACGAATGCATGTACTGTAAATACAGTATATACTTCTAAATGTAAATATTATAATATGATTTTATGTGCTTTAAACATTTATCTAGTGATATTACGACTTCAATATTTGTATCGGACAGACATAAAGTCGAATAAAATGACTTAAACTTAATTATTATTTTTCCATATACTTTCTTGACAAACGACGTATAATCGGGAACGACGTAACTCGAGGTATACCTGTATTTTCTTCTTTGGTTAAAAACTATTTCTGTTAAATCTATTATCTAATATTTGTTAAAACCATAATTATTAGAAAATGTAGTAAAAATGTATCTATTTATTTGTTTTCTGGTCACCTAATTTGGTTGTTCTGTTTATATACATATTACATGTGTTTCATTTTTATATATGTTCGAAAGCTAGCAGTATAATTTACTACAGTAAATTATACTGCTAGCCTTCCAAATAATAAAAAAATGAAATATTTCCAAACGTTATTAGAAATAAAATGCAACGGCAAATGGGAACAGAGAGTCCGAGTATAATCTTTTCACGGGAGTCAGAAAACTTATCGATTCCCAATTCCTTACTTTGCAATAAATTAAAAAAAAAATTTTTTAAACTGTTAATACCATTATTTTTGACGTCTTTAATAATACAAAATGCAGCCCATGTTACTGCACTGCCTCGTACTCACGTTGGTGTCAAATCATTTTCGGTTCTGCGTTTAATCAAACCTTACTTGCGCGCCGACTCGAAAGAGGCCATAACGGAGGCTAGTCTTTTTATGAGAACAGATTCTTCTTAAGCATGTTTCATTCGATCTTTTTAGCGTTAAATTTGTTTACCTCAACATTAATATTAATATATTAATAAAAATGTAATAATTTTATTTATAATAATCCTTTGGTTTTTTTATAAGAGCAAAAACTATATTGTTACATATGCATATGCAATGCCAATAAGGTTCAAAATTGAAGTGCTCTAAGTTATCATTTTCATATAAAATGGTTAAACTTTTTCAACTGGTTTTTAATTATTATCATTTCACATTAACTGTTTGAAAATCGTAATAGTATAATCATATAATAGGACTCTTATGTTGTTAATTTATATTAATAAAAATATTTACAATGTTTGTTTTGAATATTCAAATATTCTTAGTTTTGTATATAATAAGTAAACATAGCATTTTTATCAAAAAGCTTATTACAGCCAACTTTAACACTACTTAAAAGTTATATTTAGATCAATGTAGTCTTAGCCTGATCTAAAACAGATTAAGAATCGATCAAATTTGCATTCTCACCCACATTTTGAGTCAATCAATTTTTGGTATGAAAAGAAAAAATGATATTTTCTGCATGAGTAAAGCCACAAGCTTTTATTTATTACTGTTTTTGACATATTTTAATGCTAATAATGCTCCAAGCATGTGTTAGATTGACTTCTGATAATTTCGGTTTATTAGCGCAAAGTCAAAGTGCTACTTTCCTCCATTATTTCTCGTAGCTTCAGAGAAATAACAAGATTATCTTGTTCAATGAAGATATTTCTAAATTCAATCAAATCATTACGAAGAACACACTTCTCTCTTATTCTAGAATTTGTGGTAAGTCGATGCATCCCAAAACGTGCAGATTTCATTTGTAACTATTGCCATTCCTTTGTCGTATTTTTCCCAAAGTCACACCTTGCCAATTTATTTTCTTTATACAAAAGTGGTTTTGGATAGAATTTCCTTGTTTAAATTATAGGTATGCTATAAAATATTTTTTATCCTGAAAATATTTTTATATAGACAAACTGGCTAGGTGGTACTTGTGTGAGAGTTTAAAGTTGGAAAAAATACCTTGTTTTCTTTACATAAATGCAAATAAAAACAGTAATTGAAAATCTTGATTATCTTTAAGATGAACTGATCTGCCAGATTATGTTAGGCTGTAATATGGCTACTAAATAGTTAAAGCTCAACATAATCCAGCAGATTATTTACCTTAATCAAAATCAAGTCAACAGATGTTTATATTTGTTCTTATCTTTAATACATAAAGACATAAATTACAAAACCAAATTTTCAGAATAATCTTGCATCTTTTTTAATGTGTGAAAATTCAAATTTATATTTTATCAAAATTCCAATAGAGTAGAAAAATTCATTATTCATTATATTTATTTCGTCTTAACAAAGCATATTTCCCATTATTTTGCAATATGAAAAAATGCATTTTTGAAACTTCGGTACGTGAACTACATTTTTTTCTTTTATTTTTAACAATATATAAAATGTATGTTGTCTTTGTTTATGAAGCAATAGATTTTATCAATTGAATACTTTAAAAAAATCCTAATCCTATTCCTATTCAAATGTCAACTAAAAATGGATACGCATTAGAGGTGTGGACATTTTCAATCGCTGTTTAATGTATTTTAAAGTATTTGTCAGCAAAAATATCAAGTATATTAGAATGAATTAAAAACATTCTTGTATGGATGAATGCATGACCGATTTCCGATAGCTATTCGACCATAAAAAATACGTGTCGACTTCCTTCGAATTTAATACGTATACCTTTAAATTATTGGATGCATTTAAGCCATTTTTTAAAAACTTAATAAATTTACTACTTATTTTTTAATTACTTCTTTGATGATAATTTACAGGAGTGGCATTGAAGAACTCACAAAGAAAATAGTATAATAAGCATACTAAATACATAAATGTATTTAATTTCTTAAAAATGATTGGGTTGCATTTAATCAATCTTATTAAAGCTATAACTGAATGACATTACCAGATATAATGCTAAATCTTTGTGACGATAGCACAAATAATTTAAATGACGGTTTAGTATCAGAAAATTGGTATATGTTGATGATTCTCTGTTATTGATTCACGGACCACTTAAACAGTGTCACATATGAATTGTGTACCAGCTATTCCAGGCTGTAAATACAAGGGTTGTTCAGGGTTAAATGAGACTTTTGGGCCTATAATTTTGAAAAGTAACTTTAGCATGATAAAACCCAAAGAGGGAATAGCATTATCCATCCCAAGATTTCGGTAGCAAACATGATGCATTTTGTGCATGAACAGCAGTTTTAGCAATCATGGCATAAGGTAATGTATCTGCAATGGTGGAACAGTGGTGCGTAATCAAATTTCTTGTGAAGGAAAAGGTTAAACCTGCTGATTTTTTGAGAAGATTGAATGCACAGTATGGGGAACAAACACTGTTGTGGGCAAGAGTGTAAGAATGGTGTCGACAATGGTGACAAATGAAGCACATGGACATGTTCGTCCAACTGCAGTAACGACAGTGAATATTGCACGAGTTGAGCAAGTTATCCTGGAGAACTGGTGAGTAACCGAGAGACACATTGCAGATGAAGTGTCCATCAGTGTCATAGTGTTGAGAAAATCATCCACGAGCACTTACTGTTTCACAAAACGTGTGCCAGATGAATTCCCTGACAGCTGACATGTGATCATAAATGGGTACGCAAGGAGACGTGAGCAGCTTCTGAATCAGTTTTGTATCAAAGGTGATTAACTCCCAGTGATTATCATTTGTTTGGGCCCCTTAAAGAGTACCTGGGAGGAACAAATTCCAGACAGATGATGAACTGCAGCAAGTTGTCCTGTGCTGGCCACGACGTCAGCCCACTTCTTTATACGAGAAAGGTATCAGGGACCTACCCCACCGCTGGGAACAGTGTCTACATACAGATGGAGTGTATTTTGAAAAGTTGTCGGATTTTATACATGTTTCGGACATTCCTTTTGGTCTGTCAAAATAAAAGTCTTGTTTAGCCTTGAACCCATTTTACCCTTGCAACATCATCATAGGTTATCAGATAGATAACAATAGACAAAATTTTTGGCACACAATCTAATATAAGAATATTTCAGACATCATGTAGTTATTTTCTCTGACTAAACAGCACAGAATTGAATTTGGAAAAATGACTAAATCGGTTCATGGACCACCTGGTGCATATTTGTGAGCCATCAATGTCCTATGGACCATACTTTGACAATCATTCATTTGTGTCATGTGTAATTCAAACATTTTAAAACCAACTGCAATAATTTGTGCAAAAATTCCTGGATTTATTTATTTGATTTGTTTGAATAAGAGTATATGAAATTTTTATGTTGTTTTTCTGTTAGTTTATTTTAATTATAGAATTCAAATACTTAAAATTAATTAAACTTTACTTCAATAAAATTACATGTTTTATGCTTTAAAAGTATTTATTCTTTAATCCCCTTTTAATTGATAAATCATAATGCTAGATGAAAAATGTTTTGAATTCTTAGTTTGATTCTTTAAAATAATAGATAAAATCTATAAAAACCAAAATATGCTAAAAAAATTTAATTTTTAAACATAATTCGAGTCTCACCTTGTGACATCATTTAAGCGGAGTTTAGGAACAAATTTCTGTAATTGACGAACTTGCGCAAAAATATTCACTCCTCTATACATTTCCTGTATACCGTATAAGATATTTTTCACAGCTAAGCGTTGAAAGCCCCTGAAATTCAGGCAAGTAATAATGTTTGAAAATTCTAAATTGAAAACCAAATAATCATTAAATGCTTACGGATGCTTGACTGCTTCCCACAATTCAGGTACGTTGACATCTGTTAAATGATAACCTTCGCGTTTGAATGCTAATACTGCATTAGGCCCCAACCATACGCTGCCATCAATACGTGGAGTGAAGTGTACTCCAAGAAAGGGAAATTTTGGATTAGGAACCTGATATAAACATAAAAAATGATAAAAATTGCTATTTCATAATTTAAAGAGAAAAGACACATATTTATCATGCAGACTTACTGGATATATGTTACCTTTAATGAGATCACATTTTTCTTTCTTTAATAGAAGATATTCTCCACGAAATGGCACAATCTGAGGATCTAGGCTGCAGCCTGATAACGTGGCCAATTTATCCGAATATAGACCACCACAAGTTACACAGTATCGACTTCTTATGGCCTACAATTACAAGTAGGCACCAACGTACCAAAAAAGAAACTTAAATTTTTGAAAAATTACTTTATAAAAATGCTAACATACTTTGTTTGAAGATATAATTCTGACAGGATATTGACTAGAATCTACTGAATGTTTTTTCTGGCTTTCTGCAACAGTTTTAAAAGCTTTGACATTAAAACCGAGATGAATTTTTCCTCCACTCTTTTCAAAATCTCTTCCATAAGATCGACATACTTCTGCCCAATCGACGATACCGGTATGGGGCGACCATAATGCCTTTAATCCCTGTATCAATTTTAAAATTACAAAAACTGTAAATAATATATATATAACTAAGAAAGCAAATTTCCATAATTAGCATAAAAATCCTTTAAATTTGAATTAATCAACATATACTTTAAAATGTATTAGAATGCCTTAAATTCACTTCGTACAATGTTTACAATTTTAAATTTACAATAGCTTGTTTTTAGAACTTATAAGCTGGCTCTGTATATTTGGTATTCACCAATTGCCAAATATTTGCCTTTTGCCCAAGTATTTATCACGTGGAAACCATATACGTACACACGATTATTTGCCAAGCATTGATTCATCGTGGGAATTACAAATGATTATTCAAGATTTATCCACTTTGATTCGGCACAATATACTGGCAAAGAGTGGGAAATGGGAAATAGCAAATACCAAATATTAGTCACAATTAAATCCTTCACTCTACTTGGCCAAATGTTTGCTTGGCATTTGGCAAATAGCAAATGTGTTGAGTCGACTTTATGTTGATCTGATAACGAGACACGTATAGTCTTGAAAAACATTTTATCACAATAAAAGAAGAATTGGTTTTCGAATGTTTATAATTTTGTATTGTTTGAACGTAATCCTAAAACTTATTCTAGTCCATTAGTATTTCTTTTGCATAATATTTAAAAATCGACTTACTTGACAATTTGGCTCAATTTCTCGAATTTCACTCGCATTCACAACTTTCAAATCTTTAACAGAATTCTTCTGACCACGTTCGTACAATGCATCTAATCTTGGTAATTCTTCTCTGTCTACGGCAACTATTAACTAAACATAATATATTGCATGCTTTATTCTTATATTACTTGCTGCAAACTTTGGGAATTTCTGTTTCTTCACAATTCTTGGCCCTACATTTCTTTTCTTAACAATTTCTCTTTTTCTGATCTGTAGCTGGTTTGACATAAATACAGATTTCCTTTTGTTCTTATTTGCTTTTGTGGTCTTGATCTTGCAATTAGACATATTCAAAGAACAATTCTTTTTTTTTTTTTTCGTAGACCTCAAAAAAAAAACATCACTCATGATACTTGCAAATTTATTGCAAAACTAAGACCAGAAAAAGAAGTTATCAAAGAAAATAATTCAGAGCCAAGAGAGATGTTATACATAACAAACATATATGCTAATATTATTAAAGCTTGTAATTCATTCTTATATCTTATTTACCTTTCCACATTTTTTATACGGTATATTATGTTCATCACAATATTTATAGGTTAATTCTAAACCTTCCACACACAATTTTGCCTTCAAAGAACCAGGAGTGTAATATATTCCAGCATGTATAACTCCACTGTTGTGACCACTCTGATGAGCAGCTTCAAATAAAAAGAAAATATATATATTTTAATATTTCAACTTAAAAGCTACAGATTTTGTATACAAAAAGCTCTCTCTTACCTAATTTTTGTTCTTTTTCCACTAAACCAATTTTCAATGTCGGATGTCTCGAGATCAATTCTCTCGCGGTAGCCGTGCCTACGATACCTCCTCCGACGACAACAATATCGTATTCTTCTTCTGTTTTACTGGAACTAAAATTGCATATTTTTATTTATACTCAAAGAAATTTTAAATTATTATTTTTCTTTGTCGTCCTATTTTGGACATTAAAATAATACCGATCTGTTGCGGCACGTTACGTCTCGGAAGCTACAGATAAATAAAAAATTAGACAATTGCATACAGAATTTGGACTTCTATTTATCATAGCCATTTATTTAATCAAAATGTTTTAAAATGGCTTTCTTATAAAACTAAAAAAATTTGTTTATTTTTGAGACATTCCCAACAATTTTTAAATTTTATCTTAAATACATAAAAATTCATTTTGATTTTTAACTTTCAAGGTTGTGTAATTGTAGAAAACAAGTACAGCGGATAATAATGTCATAATTATTTTCGAAATATACAATTGCCTATTGTGTAATTTTGCAGATATCGAAATAAAAAAAAATAATTTGCTTTAAAAAAACTTATAAAACTTCAAAAACTTGTAGAAATTTAACAAAATTTTCCTGTTTTTTTTTTAATATTTCCTTAATTAAAAAACAAAAACCTAACTTAGAAGACAAGTAGTTTGCTTTGAAATTTTTTACTAACAGATTTCTTTTTGAAATTTATTCTTTTTTAATTAATCAAGAATTTAGAATGGAATGTATCTTTAAATTTATTTTTAAAAATGTGTATTAAATTTTAATTTTAAAATATTAATATTTTGGTAATTATTAAACTCATTAATATTCTCTATTTACATTTTATGCATATAGAAATATTAATAAAAAAAAATTGATGATTATCTTGTAGATGCCAATGTGGAAGTAGAAAGGCATCTATTCTATTCTATTGTATCTCCTTGTTCTGACAGACCAGGTTCTAGTGAGATTCTCACCCATTTTCAAAGTGGTTTGACACAGATATGTCAGGATCCATTCCTCGCCATCTCGGCACTCGTTTGTTTAGCAGAATACGGCAATTTGACGCGGGGACAATCTGCCTCCCAGGAGGACTTTTGACGAGAAACGGGTCCTTATTTTGGCGTCGGACACAGAAAAGGAAATACGGCAAACTCGCCGGAACACGAGACCGATAATGTTCGCGTGCCTTTGGCCGCCGGCGGGCATCCTTTTCCGTCGCCTTTCCGGTCCAAAGACGTCGAGACGAAGATGCAAAGGGCCCTCACGATAAGTTTGGGCACCGCCAAATTTATAACGGACCAAAAAAAAAATCCTTTTGGCAGACGAAGCTTAGAAAAATGACGATTTATCATCAATTCTTTTCATAAAATATTAATATTACTGATTAATATCTCTACTTGCATAAAAAGTGATAACACAAACCATTCATCAAAATAACAATTATCAAAATATTGACCTTCAGGCAAACGCAAAATGATTGTCAACATTTTAGTTGCTTCACATAAATTTAATAAAAAAGGAAGCTTGCGAAGGCCACCATCAATTTATAGAATCATTTTTAAACAAAAATTTGCATTAATATCTCCAAATCCAATGTTTCTTTCAAAGAAAACTTCCTTATCATTACCAAATTTTCCTCTTGGCAAGGAAAATGCTAAAATATCAATATATTTGGCATCAGACCGATGATAAAATGTTCTTTATTAATAAATTACGACATTCCACCATTTAAACAATCCATCCCGAAGGCAAAAAGTCTCCAAGGGAATTACCATAATAAATAAACCATGTGACTTAAAGCCCAGATGGGACATTACGTCACGTGTTTACACAGATAATAAGGCGTGTTCGTGAACGGCTAAAACCGGGGATAAAACGACGATCCGACTGACCTGTGCACATTTCTACACGCTCTAGAAAAATAACGCTTAGAAATCGAGCCCACACACCGCTTCCCACTCCGATAAGCCAACATGGCGGAAGTCATCGTTTGCACGATTCGTCCGGCAGACGGCGTCAGAACGGAAAACGGAGAATATCGTTTGGATTTTGGTTCGTAATTCGTTCGTCAGATGGCGTCGAGAAGGAACTAAGTTTTGTAGCTCCTCTGCGAGTTCTATTCTTAGTAGTCTTTTAGTCGCCATCTCCGTACTAGGTATTAAAAGCAGAACTCTTCACTCCCGCGTTAACGAAACGGAAGAAAACGAGTCGGAAACAAAGTAAAAATTGTTGTATTCGTTTCGTATAACGTCCGGCAGATGGCGCGGAACGAGAATTCTTTTTATTTTCTAAATATGCCGACAGATGGCGACCGGGAGAATTTATTGTTTAGTTTTGGTTTGCGAAACGTTCCGGCAGATGGTGTAGAGTCGTCCGCATGCGCAGTGGGGCATCGAGAGGTGAGTGTTCCGTCTATTGTCATGTCAGCTTAGTGTAAGTATGGAGGAAGAGTTGAAGTGTCCCGTGTGTAAGCACTTTTATAATAACCCAGTTTTGTTGCCGTGTTATCATACTCTATGCCTGAACTGCGCGCTACACTTGCAGCAACCCGCGCAACAGATACAACAATGCGAGGAGACGTTAAATCATCTGAACGAGATCAATGCAGACGGTCCGGACGTGGACAAGTTGAGTCTACTGAGCGAGACGGATAGCGGTGTTGTATGCAACAGTCGACCCAACAGCTACGTGGGTACTCCCAACATCCAAGGTTTACTCTTCCCACCTTTACAGAGCAACGCTCTTTCGTTAACTTGCCCCGTGTGCCACAAGATCGTCTACTTCGACGAGAACGGTGCTCACAATCTACCGAAGAACAGGGCATTGCAGAACATAGTCGACAAGTATGGAGAGAGTAAAAATTTAGCAGTTCACTGTCAGTTGTGCGAAGGTGAAGCCAAAGATGCCACGGTCATGTGTGAACAGTGCGAGGTTTTTTATTGCGAATCGTGTCGGGAGAGTTGTCACCCTACGCGTGGCCCCTTAGCCAAACATTCTCTCTTAACTCCTCAAGAAGGAAAGGCGACTCTTCGTGCTAAGAATAAGAGCAAAGAACCTAAATGTGGCGAACATGCCGACGAAGGTCTCAGCATGTATTGCATGTTGTGCAAGACTCCGGTTTGTGTTCTATGTTTACAAGACGGCAGGCACATTAACCACGACGTGCAGGCTTTGGGTGCCATGTGTAAGGCACAGAAGGTGAGTTCTTTCTTTCTTTATTTATTTTTCCTTTTAATTCCCGTTCCGTCCGTACGCCAGAGGGAATACATTCTCACTTCTTACAAACGGCAGCTCGTTTAAGAAGGATTCGTAAATAAACAAAAGTCGAGCATTCTTACAAAGGGGATAACTTAATCCTACTGGCGTTATAAAGGGGGAAACTTGTTTTGAAAATAATTCTTAGCAATATTTTACATTAATGATTTCTGTTACACACTTCCATCGAGATCCTCGGCTTTTATAGATATTAGATTACCGTCTAATGATCTCATTAGCCCCGCAAAAGGGGGAATATTCCTGTATCTTGTAAAGAGGGTTATAACTTAAGTAATTTTCTAAAGGGGAGGAAAGAACGCATAAAAAATATCCGAGTGATGGTTGATTTATGAATTTCTACGTCTACGTTCTGTTTTCGTTGAATATTTATAAACATTTTTACAGTCCAATGATCTGGCTAAAGGGAAATCATTTTTACAGTCTAATCTCGCCAGTCATAAGGGAGGAGGGACACGTCTAGAAAGGCGAATTCCGCAGTCATTTTTACATGGCCGTATCCATGTTTTCGTTATCTATCGAGAACTCGTTTGATAAAAATTGTGTACCGAACAGGTTTCGGAATAGAATGAACTATCGATGTGTTGTTTACCGCATTCTGTGTACAGTATAAATGCACAATCCAAACATTTGCGACAATTCTCTTATATCATTCCAAACTCTCGTTTAGTGGATTTAACCACCCGATTGTTTAATCTATGTTTAGCAACGGATATGAATATTTATTCAGGCGTTTACTCGATAAACATAATTTACCACTCGTTACGTGCATTATAATCTTTCGATTTTTCCCGTAAAGATATATTTAATTTTTATTTTTAAAGGAGGAAAAATGCCATATCGAAACGTTATCACTCAGCGGGTGACATTGATAAGGGGGAAGAATGTGTCATCTAAAATAATAGACGTATAGATAAGCTGCGGAATTAATTGCTACATAGGGAAACATTTATGCGAAGGTGTTTCCTTTGTAATGTTTTTTTCCCCCTTGCCTAAAATTATTTATCATTAATCTCTTATAAATGGTATTAATGAGTTAGTTGTCTACACTGCTTGAGAGACGTTATCAGTTATGATGCGACAAAACTAATTAAAGTGATGTTTTAATCCGAGGTACGAAATGCATTTTTCATTAAAATTAAATAAGAATAATCACATTTTTGTCCAATTTTATTGTTATTATTTTTTTAATGTTAGAAAGTAGAATTATTATCATTTTAAAATTACTCGAAAGACGAAAAAAATGCCGCGCGTAATGGCGACTCCTCCTTCCCTCGTTCATATTACATCAGATTTTTAGTTCGGGTGTTTTTTTATTAATAATTTTATACTCTTCATTTATTTACACGCATCTGCGATATAATTTGATTTATGTTTCACATTTTTTCTCCTTATTTGTAATAATATAGTAGGCGTACGGATACGGTATCCGTAGATTATGCCACGTAGCTGATATCAATATCGCTGCTCTTGTTATATAAATTAGAAAACAGTGAAATAATCGCTGCTCCAGATAGAAAGTAGAGCGTTTTCTAATATTTTATAACCTCTAAAATGCATTAAGGGGCGTTTATTTACTTGTAATCGAAGAACGAAGTTCGTTTTTAGCATACTTTCGATGATAGTCATCGATTTTCTTGGTATGTTTTTATGTCCCGTTCTTGCATTAAAAGTGTCTCGTAGGGAGTCACAAGTCCCCGTTTTATTCGCCATTATGTTAAATTACGCTATAACCTCGATAGTGCGTATCGAGTTTCTGGTATGTTTACGCGGGATTGATTATAAAGAAAGCGAAAGTCTCCATTTAAAAGTCACGTAATTTCGAGAATACGAAACTTATGCTCTAGATTCGAATGTATAAAACAAAAAAATAAATACGATGGCCGCGATTATTTACAAACAAACGAAAAAAATTCAGTTCCCCTTCCCGTTCGTGTGGGTGTCTCATCTGTAAGTTTAGTTACTTGTAGGCGCACACGCCCAGGACCGATATATTTTCGATTTCTTCCCACGCCAAGTAGAAAAAATAGGGATGTAAACCGCCCCAACAACTTTATATAACGACCTTGGGGGTAAATACGACTCGTCTAGCATGTTCGTTTCCTGTGGAGTGTAGCGACATGTTTGAACGACCTTGCTGATCGAACGGGGCAGGTGTCACTGACAGGTGGTCTTCGCGACTATTAAAAAAAGGGAAAAAATGAAGTAAAGCGAAAGCTAGATTGTCCCTCTCCCGTCATGTGCTATGGCCAAACGTGCGGTTGTTCTTTTTCTTTTCCCCACCTTTTTTCCTCCCTCGCCCTCCATGTCGATTGGATAATTGAAATACGCGCATCATTTTCCCTCCCCTTTTGGATCCCTGTAGAAAGATTGCGGTTCCGATGACGCCGATCACGTGACGGAGCGAATTCTTATCGTCCCCATTGGCGGACCGGCCATCGTCACGTGATGATATAGCGTCAGTTTGTCTGTCCGCTGGCGAGGTTTGTCATTCGTACAGCATTTATCAATACGGTCCCTACTGCTACTCGATGCCTTGTACTTCTTTTCACCCGGTAGTGGGGTGTGGTGCTAAACTAGATTCATTGAGCCATACATATGTAAAAATCTAGCACTCCGGGGGACAAAATTCACGTCTGGTCTCCATAGTAACGTCTCCCCACTTTTCCTGAGCGGGACAATAACGAAATGTTTTCTTTCTTTCTTTTTTTTTATTTTACGTTTTTTGCCCTCTTCTCTAGTAGGCACTTCGATGGCGAATCGATCTTTTTATCACTGATTTCTAGTCTCCATCCCGCTGCAGACAAGAATAAGGTAATTGGCCGCGAAGACCGCACTCCATCGAGAACACGGGGAGACAAATAACGTTTTCGAGTGGCGTAACATGGAAAAATTCGAAAGTAATAACCCTTACGACGCTTCTATATATATGTGTGTCATATGTCACTCCGTCGCCATCTTTTTCTAGGAAGGCACTCGCCGGGCGAAGTTTGAAATTTATTTATTTATATTTTTCTGAAATTCTTTTCGTATCCCTCCAGCGATACAAATACATAAAAAGCTTACATTTAAAAATACATATGCGTATAAAAAAAATAGAATATGTTTTTCCTCTTCCTCCCTCTGCCCGTGCTTTTTTTGTAGTCGACCGATTTCGTAAGAATGTCGTCGGATGAGTGATTCCTGTTTTAAGTGAAGAAAACGGGTTCTCGATGATGGAAACCCGATGACCTATCTTCTAATCCCCTATCTTTACCTCATTCTAAGCTTGTGTAGTATATAAATTACGTATTCAACAACTTTTGATAACGGATGATAATTTTTGCATTTATGTCAAGTAAAACGTCGGAAATGTAAACGCCGTCTTTGTTTATTTCGTGCTCCGAATTTGGCAACACTTAAAGATTTCCGGTTCGGTTAAATCTAGCGAACTCTGAAAATTTAAATACGTCTTTTCTCCGCGCTGTTTAAAAGTCGAAAATACTTCTGTTTAATAAAAATTCGCTCGAATTTTATCATAAAATACGAAGGAATTAATATAGATGGATGGCCGGCCGCTTGGGTACTTTTTTAAATTTGTAAGTGTTGCCAGTTGTCGAAATTATAACTGGCAACGTTTTCATCGTGTTAAAATGTCGTTTGGCTACTATATTGACGTTTGATTTAAATTTAAATATTTGTAATAAATTACTAAGATTACGTATCATTTGTCCTCGATAAAATAACACGCAACGATCGTATCGAAAATAAAAGGGAAAACATTTAAAACTTCCGAGGCCTACGCGTATTTATCGTTAAGTGTTGCCAGTTTTCGGACGAATTAATTTTTATACGAAAAATTAAGCAAATTAATTCGATTAAAATAATAATTCTTTTAAAAAATGCAAAGGAAAAGCGGGCAATTTTGATCTAACAAGTAAAATTAACGAACTCCTAAAAAACTTCGATACTCGAATTTTTATTCTAATTAAGCGAAACGACATAAATTACGTAAGTAATCGATGTGATAAAGAAAAAAAAATAATATAATAAAATCTATTAGTATTAAAATCTCGTTTTAAATCAGATTCTATTTAATTAACTATAACTCTTCGGAGAACGTTTACGTAATTGCCACTTCTATATATTATTTGGGAAAACCGACAACACTGTCTACCATCTGGGATGGTAGATGTGACCGATTGTTGTTGCCATGGTTACTGTACGTTTGCCAACATCCCTTCCGATGGAAGAAATACCCCCTTCACTTTTTTTTATTTACTCGGTGTCCAGTTACCGATTATCAATAGAGGGAAAAAAATGAAAATTTTTTTGCAGGGAGAACTTTGTACTAACTCGGCCTTTATGTTATTTAAGCTTTCGTATAAGCGAAATCGGAAATTCAATTTTTGATCACACTCCTACAAGATTGATAGGAGGAAGAGTATTCGTGTTTATCACATTCTTAACTGCTTACTATACACGTATATTTTTACTTACAGTTAGTGTAGAAAAATTGTTAGGAACTTTACTGTCGATAGTAGGCTTATATATTAAGTATAGATTAGCGGGAGGAAAATAATTTTTCTATAAATATGTATTCTCTACGGTCTTTTAGAGAGGTGGTTGTTGCTTCTAAGTTAGCGTGCCGGATCCGTGGATGCTTTTGTTGACGCGCACAAAAGATTTATTCGTAATAATGACGCGAAATCCCGATATCGATTGCATAGAGATACGTTTTGATACCGCGATTCGGAATCGTAGAAGTGACCTGGAAGCGCAGAAGTGCCTTAGTATCTCGACTCGAAACCTTCAGAAGTACCTCGTAGAACTGTAGAAGCATCTTGATATCCCGACTCCCGATATCTCGATTCGTCATCTTGTTGCTTTGATAATCATCGGCACGACTCCCAGCCAAGTATTTGCGGTTCCATTACAAGATAACGTTTGTCGTATTCGCGTTACAGCTATATATACTTTATAATTTCTACTAACAATAACGAGCGACGGCGGATTACCCAAAGCGGAGCGTCGTGCCCATCGATGCCAATGAACGGAATATATTAATTTTTATTAATGTCACCCGTCGGTTACTTTCATCCACGAAAATTTCCTATCGAAAATGATCGGAATAATCAGGAAAGAAGAGAAGAAAAAGAAGTAAAGCGGCCGAGTCTTGATTAAACAACTAATTTTGGAAAGCGCCATTAATTAAATTCCGTTTTCTCGAACGACCTTTCTCGACTTGTTTTACGAGAATAAAAGCTAGAAGGGAATTACCGAAAACAAACATCCGATTCGGTAACGACGTTAATATAATAAATAAATTAATTTTATATTAAGTATTGTATGCCGAAGACGGATATTAAAAAAAAAAGATGTCAGAATGACCGAGTAATATATATCCGAGTCGCCGGTTAATAGAAAGTAGCCCGTCTTTCGATTATTCGGCGACCTTCTCGATAGCAATCTGTCCTTGAGATTGGTATAACTTGGGGTATTGACCTTTAAAAAATCAATTTAAATATGAAATTGTGTATTTTTTCCCGCAGTTATACCTCAAATCCCTCTTTAATCGTCGCGTGTGTGTAAAAATAGAATGCTTTCGGTTGGATGTAGAAGGGTATTAACAAATGGGTGTTGCAGCGAGTCACGTGTATAAGGTGTGTTTTTTTTAGCAGGGGGAGGAAAAAGTAGCGAACAACAATCTCGGCAAATCACGCGCTATTCTTCCAATCCGAGTGTCGTTGGAGTGTGTTGTCGTATACTTCGTTTTTAATTTTTGACTGCATAAAACGATCGATCTTCCATTTATTAGTATTTTAATTTTTTGCACTTTACTAGAAGATTCTCGTCGACCTCAAACAGAACCGAAATTTGTTTTTCTCTTCGATACACCAAACGATATTACTGAGTAATTTGGGAATTGGTTTAATGTTTGTTAATCTTAATCGAATGATTAAAAAAAGAAATAAACGAATCGTGTTTTAATTTTAAAACTTTACAGAAATATTCCATTCCCCCTCGATTCCTACCTCCGCTTCACCGCCATCTGGTGAGCTGCGATTAAATTATGCGAAACGAGTTGCGGATGTAATTAATCGGGTGTGGAGTAATTGCGAGTTTTATGCCGCTAAATTGTCGAAATTTAAATATTCTTTACGTAATTTCTAATTAATCGTCTTTTATCCTTGGCCTAAATAAACTCGACGATCGAATTAAATTAGAACAATAAAACAATAGATATTAAACCTAAGAATTACTCAAATGTCCACTTTTTGGGGGAACCCAAGCGAGTTAAGTACAGTAAAATCGAGTTTTTTTTCTGAAAAAATGGAATATTTATTCTTACCCTATTATTATTCGTAATGCAATTTTTATCTCGTTTTACCGTGCGTAATGTCGAGCCTTTAGCGTGAACTTAAAGGGGGGAAGCATGGCGGAACGTAGCTAACGAAGAATAACGCGAAATCGACTCTCTCTACTCGGATTCTTGCCAAACCAACGAGATGATTGTTCGTCCACTTTGTTTCTCTTCCTCTTTTGTTAGACGGGAGAAGAGAGAAAGATGTTTATCAATATTCCTCCCCTTTCAACGTCGGTCCTTTGGGGCATCGTTAGAAAATCATCACGGTTAGGATCCACAAAAGAACGTTCAAAACCCGTTCCATCTAACTACCATAAAAATTTTACTATACAATGCAATCGCGAAACGTGCATAACTTCAAACGGTTACTACGGAAACGACACCAGAGAAACATTTATTTCTCCTTTAGTTTTCCGTCAATCAATAGGATTAACATGTAAAATTTTGTGCAGAATTGCATGTGTTCGTGTGTTAGATAGCGCTGTAGCTTTTCCTTTCCCCCTTTTTAAGTAACCCATTGACTTTTTGATTTACCTTAATTTCGGTACGAGCTTCCAGCAGGAAATGAAGTGATAGCTAATTACCCGAGCGCTCATTAAAGCGATTAGTGAAACGGTCGTGGGAACTTATTCTTTCTCCTAAACTCGAGCCGTGACGTCACCGCAATGGCGGCCATCGATACACTCACTACACACACACACTCTCTCACCCACTCGACATCGACCTTCTTTCGATTTATTTTCAGCTGTTAACATTCGTCTTCCGTTTGCCATCTGGACCGTTTCAAAGTGTTAAACGAGATGTGTTAGACACCTCGATGGTTCCCCCCCTCTTCTTTAAATCGGGCGAATATTACGCTCTCCGTCTGGTGTTTTGCGGTGGTGACAAGTGGGGACAGGTGAAAATTTAGTTATACTCCTCATTGATCGTGACGTAGTCGTCATTAAATGGATCATTCATGAATTAAATAACCCACCCTCGCTCCTTCGCCTTGGCCTAGCGCAAATAATCGATCGGATGACGTTTTCTTCAAAGTTGATGTCACGCGGCGAACGGGAGATCTGCCCCTACCCGGGGATCCACTACGTCCCATTGACAAGGTTTGGCCATTTTCGGCTAATTGTCTGACCATTAGGTATCGCGCGCGCTTACCAAACCTGGCCCCGTTATTGTTCTAAACGGGGTTTGACCAGTTTTTTACAACTCTTGGTCGCCGTTTTTAACGATTAATGGGTCTATAAGGGAACAAGGAAGTAGTAGTTACAAAATATAAACTTCTCTATAACTAATCACAACTCGAAGATCGATTGCCTTTAAAGTAAAATAGCAATTTGCTGTTTCTCTAGAATGTGATACAATTGGTTAAAGAGGGCACTAAACTGGGACACGTTCGTGTAGCTTCATAAAAAAAATTAAAGAGGGATTTTCGTGACGTAGGACAATTTCAGTCTTCTCGAAGGAGTAGAATGGTTATTAAGAGACTGGTAACAAACAACACACACAGATAAACACCACAAAGGAACCTACAACACACCGAAACGATCTATTATCAGTAACGTTATATAATTGCTTCCTTCTACGTGGAAACTAACAACTCTCGCGAGGAAAATAACTAGTGGCGATGTTTTACGATGCCCCCGCCAAGCGATAACGAATCAAATTTGTTTTAAACAGTTCAAAAATTATTTCCAAATTTGTTAAATATTTTAAAAATTCAAAAAATATATATATAGTCAAAGCCAACGAATCAATGGCGGCGACTGGTCACGCATAAACTTTCGGCAAATCATCTTTACTTATCGTTTTAGTCGCGACATTTATGTATATCGCATTCGTCTGGTACGTGAGAAGCGATAAGAGGAAGAGCAAGCGTAATTATTTCTCTCCGTTTCCAAAAAAATAAAATAAAGGAAGCTCGGGAAACGCTTTTATAACCCACGCATTTTTTGACTGGAGGGACAGAAAAAAACCTCTTTAAGAAATTTGGTGTAAGATCTCCGAAGGAGGGAGACTTTTAATCTCGAAAAAAAGATATCCAAAAAGCAATACCGGTTGCCAGAAGCAAACGGAATTCGTGCTTTGCAGTAAAAATTCCCTCTCTATCTCTGGTTCTTAGTGTCGTTGACCGATTCTGTTTAGTAAACGAGCAGCATCTGAATTCTGTCAAGAAGCGAGAACGTCGAGCAGGTGAACGGTATGTCTGTCCTCCTGACGCGAAACAGATCTGCGATGAAAGTAGTTTCCTTCCAGTATGAGCGATTGGTTACGGTACGACCGGAAACGGAAACTAAATTTTCCAATGATTCGATTGTAATGTTTATACCCGAGAGGGGGAAGACGGTGTATACGTTGTCGTCAGCCGCGAGTGACGTCATCGATTCAATAATATACATTTTTTATTTTACATTTGTATATCGTGACAACAGATGGCGTTATATTTTTTTTAACTTAAATGTTGCCAGTAGTAAATTTTCAATTTAAAAAAATTAATAACGGCTTAAAATTTATAAAGAAAAAAGTAAGATAGAATTTTGAAAAAAAAATTTAATTTTCAGATCAGGATTTTATGGGGTAATCCCTCCCGGAGCTATCGGAGATTGTTATCTCATTCCCAGAAAAGAGGGGAAATGCAAAATTGAATCGCTGTTCTCTTTAATCGAAACACGTTTCGGATTTTTTCTTTGTATTTTTTTTATCATTCAAATGTAAAGTTAGATAACAAATCACGCTTAAATAATCTTCGATAAGATTATAAGTTTAGGAAAAAGAAGAAAGGAGGAAAAGTAAGTTCAACCTTATAATTTTCTATTCTCGAACAGACGGAACTATCTCAGAACCTTCAGACGTTATCGGAAAAAGCGAAAGGAGCAACGGAATTTATTCAGCGACTGAAATCCATGGCTGAAAAAGTCACGGTGAGTTTCTTCTTTCTTTCCGTAATAAATTCGCAAACGTAGTGAATAATTCGGGCGTTATTTAAATTAATTTCCGTCCGTTACGGAAAAGTAAATTTCTCTAGAATTTACATTACGCGCCGCGTCTGGTCGGAGGTAATTCGGTGCGAAATGGCGTAGGTAAACGGCGTAACGCCGGAGCCTTTCTCCAACCCGTTACTTTATTTGTTTACTTGACCGAAATGTTTCTTTGCTCTCAGGAGAACTGCACCGATCTGGAATCTTCCATCGACTGTTACTGCGAACTGTTAATAGAAGCGGTGCAAGTCAGGAAGCAACAGTTAATCGAATTCGCACGAAAGGAGCGGGATCACAAAATGAAGACGTTGAGAGATCAGGTGACTAATTACACGGGAAAACTACAACAGACAACGGGTCTCTTGCAGTTCTGCATCGAAGCGCTTAAAGAGACGGATCCGACGGTATTTCTCCAAGTGGGTTCTTCGCTCATTAACAGAGTCAGTAACATGGACGTGGCGTGGCCCAAAGAGATCGGATCCACACCGTGGACGAGTCACGAATTCGATTTAACTTTAGATCATCACACGGTGTTGCAGGCGATAGAGCAGATGACTTTCGCACAAATGAAACGTGAGTTTTTATTATTGCTTTAATCTCTTTATATTCTTCTGCACCGTTCGTAGTTTTATGACTTTCTCCCGTATTCGGAGGGAGTATTAGAATCGAGCACCCTTCATTTTCTCTCGGCTGCACCTTCTTTTTTTTTCTAATAGTTTCCTTATTACTAATGATCCGTCCCTTTCCGTTCTTTTCCTCTTACCAAAGCTGGCGCAGAAAATGAAGGGGACGTGAAGACAGGTAAAAATACATTTCTCTTTTTTTCTTAACTCTCTTTTTTCTATTATTTCTTTTTTTTTCGCTTTTATTTTTAAAACTACTCTACGTAGTTTTCGCTTTATAGTTTCCTATTGTGTCCTATCTATCTCCGGAGAAAGAGAAACTCCCATTTACTTGTGATTGTATGTCTTTATGAAGGCATCCAATCTTCTCGCTCGACGTGGCCGCCATCTTTCTTTTCTGGATGCTGCCTATCGAACCTCATTAAAAACTTTACACGCCGGTTATCGGATTATCCATTTTTCGGCTTTTTTCTCTACTCGTTAAAATTAGCGCGTTTTTAACGCTTTTCTCGATGCATATTAATAAAGCGAAAGCTCTTTTTTTTTCTTTTCTTTCGTTCTTTTAAAATTATGCATTATCATTGTTTTTTCTTCTTACGTCTTGCTGCATTTCAGCACCGGGTGCACCAGTGATCATTCCAGAAGAGTGCACGTCCGAAAATAACTGCATCACCATTGCTTGGCAACCTCATTCGTCCAGTTTCGTAGAAGGTTTCGTACTAGAACTCAACGACGGACAGAACGGGTCTGGAAACTTTCGAGTAAGTCATTTCCTGGATTATAAACTTTATATACTCGGAAAAGGATTTAAAGTAAATTAAGTCGAACGAAGCTTTTAAAAATTTATCCAAATTCCGGAGATATATTTTATACTTTATGTACTATTTTTTTTCGTCTTTAATCTGTCGGTAAACCTATTAAGAATATTGACGTATCCTTCCTCCGATAAATTTAAAATAATCCTGGAAGTCGTCTTTTCCGGACGTCGATATTGTTTGTGGGGAAAGGTGGATGTACAGGAGCTACGTCAACCCCATTTACTCATTCGATGTGACGAAGGTGAACTGACTCACTCGATAAGGTATGACTCATCCGGCCACATAACCACACATTGTTGAGTCATTCCGGTTTCGAACCGTGCCATTTCTAAATTCTCTCACCAATGACTTTGTAATGGAAAAAAAAAAGTTCATCTCGTCTTTCTGCAGAGGGGAATGATTCATTTTGTCTCGCAGGAGAGTAACTCGGTCGGGAATAAATTTAAAAGATCGAAAAAACCCCTTGATTAACTGTTACGTTTGTTTCGAATGGGTTCGCCGGAAGATCCGCGCTCGAATCCGAGCGTTGGTACTTTTGTTTACTATTACTACGGTCTAATTAAATGAGTATTCATCAGGTAGATTTACGGAAAGACTCTTTCTCTCTCTTGCAACTTAATCCAATCTCTTTAGTGTACCTGATAAAATGTGTTTGGCTTGCTGCCAAATAATACACAAAGTACGCTGCCCGGTCGTTTCCGAACCTTCCCTGCAATTAATGAAGATTGAATTTTATAAGCTTAAAAAAAGATTTAATTTATAATAATAGTTTTAAAGAATAATTTCTATAAAATTGTTAATTTTATGGAAATTTATTTGCACTTTTGTTTAACTTATCCTTTTTTTTTGTTTGTTTTGTTAGAAATATTCTTGTGCTTTGTTATAAATTTCAAAGCTTCTTTCACGTGCTTGGAAGAGAGAGACCGATATGAAATTCTTGTGTTTTGAAAACTTCGTTTTAAACCTTATCTTTATAGTTTTAGCATTATTTTGCTTAAATTGTTTCTTTAGAAATTGGCAAACTGCCTGCATGATTTGAAACCAATGACATGGAGTCTTAGTAATGATATTAAATCTTTTTATCTAGTTTTCCTGCTTTTTCTCTTATCGTGTTTGAAAAGGGTCCGGAATAATAGCGCATTTGCCGTCTTAATGACTTCCTAGTTTTGTATCGTGTCTGCTGATTATTTCGACTTTTTAAGTTGCTGGCAAAAGTACGGTTTCTTGTTACCGAATAGAAAAAAATTTGTAATATCTCTAATGTTATTAGTTGCGTTCAAGTTAGAAGGAAAAAAAAGAAGAAATCCATTTATTACCTTTGATCACTTAATGTAGAGAAATGGACCTTTTTTCCTCCCGGTCTTTGTTTTTCCTTGTATCCGAACACTTGTTAATGTCATTTGTACACCAGTTTTGAGGCGAACGTAGCCTTCTCTTATGGGCGAAGATAGTTCTGTTTGACCTATTCTGCAAAGCACTCTGTCGTAATTGGTTTGTCACCTTCCTAATAATGTTTCGCCGTGTCCCTCGGTGCATGAGATTAAACTGCCCATTATGCTTAGTAAGTGGGGGACGGAAATGTGTGGGAAGCAGTTTGCCGCCTCCATTTTAAATCAATAGTCGCAATGGAATAGTCATAACAAATATTTTGAGTTCGTAGTTTTTAAAAGAAAAACTATTAAATTTTATATTTCCATAAGAATCACATGTAATTTATTAACTAAAACATATTATTTGAATATCATTTTATTTTTTACTTCTTAAATCTAGTTTGATATATTCTTTGTAATGGAATTTAAATTTTAGTACCTCAGATTTTTAACAAGTATTAATGGTCTCCGTAATAATCGGAAGAATTAACAAAGATAAATTGGACTGTTGAATGTATTGAGTCCTCCTCTTTGATTCTGATGAAAATTAATGTGACAATAAACCTTCTGCCAAGATGTCTCTGCAAAATTATATATAATAAAAAATTAGATGAATTGAAATTGTAGTGTCGTATTACCTTACGAATCTAGTTATAATTCACAACTGCACATAATTCTTACGTCGTGCATTTGTGAAAATTTCTAGAAAACTTACCAGATTCGTCATTTAAGCAATGAAATACGTGTGGACTGCCCATTACATCATAATGTATAGTAGTTTTAATTGTTACAACCTCTTATTGATTTTAATAAATAACTGTTCTTTTTTCAAATATAATACAATAATTTAATAAAAGTATATTAACTAATGTATTAAAATATTGTTGAACATATTACAGTACACTTATAACATATATTACATACAAATGTATTCATCTTAGTCTAGATATTTGAAACATATATATTTACATATAAACTTGAGATATTTGAAATGTTGCATTTTATGTGTGTATCATCACAATGGAATATACAATATATATACGTGCATGTTTGTGTATTCCATTGTGACAATTGTCAAATTATTGTGACACACTAATTATAGATAATATACTGTAATTAACATAAGACAATAAAATGAATTTCATTGTCTTAAATATAATTTATATAAAAATTAAATTTGAATCTTTGACCAAGTATTATTCAATATAAAATAGACCTATACATTTAAAACTAAAATTCTTAGAATACATAAATATACATTACTTATGAAAAAGTCTTCCAAATAAAATTATGATTAATTAATAAGAAGACATTCTTTTCAGTATTCAATATTATTTTATGTCATAAATATTATATTTATAATTAAGTAGGAATACTTTGTACATTTAGATCAAGTATAAATAAATTTACATAATTTTGAATATTCGTTCTCATTAAAAGTGTTTTCATTCCAAGAATTGATTATGATGAATATTATTGAAATCATTCATTTCCAGAATTATTCATCAGATTATTGATATTTGGAGACTGAATATGCGCATCGTATTAATTTCGGAAAAATCTTTTATTAATGTCTTTACAAAGCATGAGAAACAAAGACGAATTTCTGTCAAAAGTATTCTTGCTAATAGAACAAATTGCAACTTTTACTTGTTTTAATTATAATTTTGGAGGTGTTTTTAATTATGTATTAGAATATGTGAATTGTAAGAATGTTGGAATAATCAGAAATAGAATTTTTAATGTTTAATCTCTAAACCAAATGTAGTGCTTATAAAAACTGCATTTGGTAAATATTCATCTATTACCGTAGTAAATTTAGTTAATTGAAGAATTCATTATATGCTGTACAATAATTTAAATAAGATTATTCTTTATAATTTGTGATGTTCATTTAAACTTCAAATTACAGCATTTTCAGACTACTTTACTTTTGAGATGTGCAGATGATATTTAATTGGACTGCAATTTGAAAAAATTGTAGACCTATAAATTCCCACTGTTGTCTGACCATCTGCCTGTCTTTCCTTAATCTCAAGAATGGTGTTAGATAGACAAAAGACGAGACCAGATATGGAAACCTTAGGGGCGGGAGACCCGATTAACTGTATACAAACTTCTGATACAAACCAGAAGTCACATTATTCCAATTCAAAAATTTTTCCCAAAAGATGCTAGATAGATAGCCGGCACAACTATTTGTAAAGGAAAAGTATGATATACACGGGTATATATTTGAGGTGGAGAGCATATATTTTAAATAAAATTAATTAAAAATATGATTAAAAATTGCAGCGCGGCATTGCTTGTTACATTATATATTTTTTGTGATAGCAGATATATTGTATCTCAATATTTCTGCTTGCATTTTCTTCCGTGCTATATAAATTACAAGTCTAAACTCTAAAATATTACATAAATTAGTTAAAGCATTTCCCAATAAACATAACATTGATAGCAATAACTATATTTATATTTAAAAATTAAATATATTTTTATCATCATCATCATAACTTTTTTCTATTGATAAAGTTGAAAAATGCCAGAATCTTTGTTTTTTTTATATTCAGATATATTTCATTTTATTTTAAGTATATGGTAATAGTAACAATAATTATAAATTTTAATAATAAATTAATTTCTCATTGTTTTGGTGAGCTTTAACGATATAAATTTGATAATCACTTAAATTATAACTCTTGTCAATTAAATCTTGCAAATACAATAAACACATTGCATCACTTTAATATAATGTAGGAAGTATACTGCGGAAGAGAGACTATTTGTACCGTCGATGGACTACATTTTAATAGTATTTACGACGCAAGAGTTAAAGCTTTTAACAGCACGGGCGAGGGACCTTACAGTGAAGTGATATCCTTGCAGACGGCCGAAGGTGAGTTTTAGAATTTAAAAAGTGCATTTTTAATTGTTGCAATAAAAGCTGATTTTTATTTTATGAATAACTGTCATACAATATTAATATATTTTCTATAAATTTTAAATGTTGTAGTATATAAAATAATGATAGAAATATCGAAACTACATAGAATAAAGAAGACGTTTGGAAAAGATGTTCTTTGTTTTATAACTATTGGAATTCCATGAAAAATAGAACGTGGCAGTTTTATGTTTCTTTTGGCCTTCTATTTTCATTGTATTATCCTTGGAGAATCAGCCAGAGTTATTGCATTATCGAACACCACTTTTTCAAATTTCATTGTTGCTGTTTACTCGAAATTTGATAATATCAATCCATCAATTTATTTTCTTTTCATTAAAAGTAAAAGTTTAGAGAATAACTGATATTAATTCTGATTTATATTAAAAAAAAGTATTTAAGTAATAAACAATAATGAATTAGCATATGTATTTTTAATTTTTAAAGAAATGACAGTAATAAATTATTATTCTTTCAGTGGCTTGGTTTACTTTGGATCCATCATCGTGTAGACCAGATATTGTTTTATCAAATGATAACCAGACTGTGACTTGTGATAGTTACGAACATCGTGTTATATTGGGTAATATTGGTTTTTCTCGTGGAGTCCATTATTGGGAAATAACCGTGGATCGATACGACAATAATGCCGATCCGGCATTTGGAATTGCAAGATTTGATGTTTCTAAAGACCAGATGTTAGGTAAAGCTGTTTTATATTTTAAAAAATAGATAACGAATAAGTTTTGCATTTCAAAAAAATAATACTTATAAATCTTTATAGGTAAGGATGATAAGGGATGGAGTATGTACATCGACCATCAACGATCCTGGTTTTTACATGCCGATCATCACGAGAATCGTACGGATGGTGGCATCGAAACCAGTTCCGTTATCGGAATTCTTCTAGATTTAGAAAATCATCAGCTGAGCTTTTATGTAAATGACGAACGTCAAGGGCCGGTTGCATTCACTAACTTACACGGAGTGGTATTTCCTGCGATCAGTTTAAATCGTAACGTTCAAGTAACTATCCAGACGGGCCTCGATCCTCCTACAGAAAGCGAACCCGAAACAGAAGGCGAAGAAAAGGACCAAACTTAAATTATTCATTCTGGGTATAAAAGGTTAACTCTTAAGTGTCCTTCTATGTCGATACTGGGCAGAGTTTCCCTATAATTATTACAAGGCATAGCGGTTTCTCCATATAATTGAAATATTAGTTCAATTTTTCTTGTAGAAAACTGGTGTTTGGCCATTTACTTGCATGTGTGTATTTCATACAAACATGAAAACACATGCATTACAGTGTATTGATATTTAGGTGGTTGTGGTTTAAAAATAGGATAAAATTTATTTCTTCTACATTAAATTGCAGCAGGATGTAGACTATGTACCTAATTTAGATTGTATTTATTCTTGGCATAGTCTTGGAATTTTAATCATACCAGATATACTGTACTTATTTACTTCCATATTAACGAAGTACAATATAATAAGAGAGACATCGAAGCCAGCTGGTTTCTGGCACATCATTTAATTTCAATCGGGACGAGAACGTATCATTTAAATGCAAAATTCCGATCGTAAATTAATTATTTACTTTTAAAAATCCAGCAGATCTAGTCTGTCTGCCCAAATGACATATCATCTCTCATTTTAAAAAGTGTCTTAGTAATGATATATCAATAATCTGTCCTTATTTTCATATTTAAAAAAGAAGAAAACAAAAAGGGAAAATGTGAAAAATTGAAGTTTAGTAATTTTTCAAAAATATCTGACAAGTCCATTTTTTATATGTTTTTATCTTAAACAATTTTTGAATGTGATCTTTGCAGTATCTTCAATACATCTACTAGTGTAATAAATGTTTGCATTTAATCATCGATTTTTAACTATTATCCTATAATGTTAACCATGGTGCTTTATTCGGGTGCTGGCAATTAGCCAAAATAATACCTGCCAGTATTTGATACATTAACTTTTTTTTTATAAAAATCTTTTACTTGCCAAACCGTTCTTTATGCGCTCCGACTAACAACAATAAAAATACAACGGATTTAAAGGATTTAAATCCGGATCTAATGCAGATTTAATTTGCCGTTCGTTAAGCTATTTATTAGTTTTTAATCCATAAAACCAACATTAAAACGTTCAAAATTTTTATTGTCGAATGTTTACAATTTAATTGAAGAGCACATGTTTTATTTTGAACAGATAAATAATAAGTTGCAGCTTGGAACATTTGGAAATGAAAGATTTCTATGAACAAAACAAAATGTTTTTATCTTTTTTATTATAAAGATTTTTAAGATAGGAAAATTAGTTATATTTATTTTGATCTCACTGGTACGGTAACGTGATTGATTATATTTGCTGGAATTTAAAAATATAATTCTCTATGGCAATATGATTCTATTTAAGAGATGTTACTTCTAGTTAACTGCTAAGAATGAAAGTTTGTTAAGATTTTTTTATCATTATCATTACAAGCCAGGTGCTTGCATAATTTTACCAATTATTATTATATTATTGTAATTGGAATATTTTTACATTGTACTACATTAAACAGTTTTTTTTTATATAATAGTGTGAAGCTTTTGCTCTATTTACTTGTTTTATAAAGTTATTTTTGAACAGTATTTTTGTCTTCCAGAATAAGAATTTATTTCTGAAAAGATAAAATATTTTAAACACTGCCATATTTTACATGTTTCATTTTAGGTTCTTAGGTGTATATATGCTCTCAATGTAAGTTAAGACATGTTTTTCTGAAATTAAGTGTGAATGTGTCAATAATAAATTATCAAATCAAAATTTTTGGTGTTTTGTTTAGTAATAAACTTATTTTAAAATGTTTCTGAAAAAGAAATTATTGCTTGTACATACACGACGATATTTTTAAAAATAATATTCCTATTAAGATTAAATAATGATCATTTTCTCTTGAAATAAAATTTCAATAAATTTTAAAAACTTTCTCAACAGATTAAAAAACAAAAAATTGATTTTCTTCATTATTTTTTCCCTTGTAAAAATGTCTTAACTATACTCTCGGCTTCTGTCATTAGAAGAAAACGAATAGAAAAACACAAATTTGCTAAATTACTCAAATTAAATTTTCTGATTTTTACAGACTTTAAACAAATGAAAAAAAAAAATAAAATAAAAAAACTTTTTTTAAATGCTGATACCATTTTATTCATTTAATTTCTTGTTTTCTTATATGAAACAATTCAATTAAATTTAAGTACCTCTTGTATGTTTTTTCACATTCACTTCATAGGAAAAAAATTGTATTTCAAAATGCTTAAAGAATTAAACTGCATAACATTAAATGCTATTAGAAAACCCTTGATATATTTATAAAACGAGGAAAAAATACATTAATACTGATAAATAATATAAATTTTCATTTATCTATAAATAGAATCTTCAAGACCTTCAAAGTTATGACAGTATAAATCCTTGCTGTAAATTTTTAAAGACATCATTAATAAAAACTGTTTCTATAGTTTTTTATTTCTATTAATTTAGTTGTTTTTCTAAAGAACATCATCTGAGTTTTGCCATTTGAAGAATCTGAAATGTGTGATTAACCAAATTGCCTATTGTTTTAATGGCATTGTGTTTATTTGGTTTTTTTTAATTTAATGTTTTTTTTTCTTTTTACAAACCAGGAAAAAATATTGATAAATTTTAAGATTTCTGAAATGCTTAACTTTATAATTCTCCTATCATAATAGATTCAAATAGCTTATCCATTGAAATCTATTGCTAATTTATTATTTGATGGGGTGATGTTTTTCAAAATTTTAAATTGGAATTAATGTTGATCTCAAATTAAAATACTGTTAATTTATATGCTGCTATTTAAATCTAATGAAATTTCTTATAAGATGGTTGGTTAATTGCGTTGTATAAATTATAGTTTTAATTACATATTCTTAGTAATTGTCTTTACTAAATTAGAACAGTATGGTTGGTAAGATACAGAATTAATTTCTTACTAGTGAAATATTGTTAAATTTAACATTTCAAATGAAAATATAAATATATATATCACTATCAATTTAGATGACAGTGATACGTTTTTATGTATATTTAATTTTATAAGTTGTGAGAAAAATTCAAAAAATTTTTAAGGATATTCTTGTTAAATTTACTTATATAACGAGAAATGTGATACATCCAACGTGCTTTTAACATTTTTTTTTTTTTCCTTTTTACGAGTTTGGCAGTGACCTAGAAAGAAGAAGTAATAAAACACCAGCATTAAAAGATTCTTAACCTTACTATCATATGAAACATCTGTTTAGTTTCCTATCCAGATAGCATCCTTTGTATTTCTTTAGGTGGAAGCTAAACACTTTCTATACTTTTAAAGAATGTTAAATATAGAAATTGGAATTTTAAATTCAATTACCAGGGAAAATATCGAGTATTTAATGCGTGGTAATGAAAATTATATCTATTAAACATAATAATCTTGAGGTAATCAATATAATGAACCTTAACATAAATAGCTAGGTAGCATTTGTGTCGTGATCTCCCGTTCAAATCCCTCTTTTGATTGCTTATTCAGATAATTGGTTGTCGTTAACGTTGGGAATGCAATAGGGAGCATTTTGCATTCCGGATTAACAACTCGAAAGGATGTTGTAGTCTATATGAATACAAAATAGCTTCTATTGAATTATATGCATCGTTGCGATTAAAACGTGTCGCCGGGTGGCACGAAATAGGCAATACATAAAAAAAGACATTTATAGTCATTAAAATTTCCAAGATGATTAAGCATAAAAACCTTTTGAGCCTTTATTATAAAATCTTATGCAAAATCAATTACTGATTATTTACAGCAAAAATAATAAACAAATTAATCGATTTTAATCATATCAAATGCAAGAATAAACTCTCCATCCACAAAACAAACAGCGCACTAATTAAAAATAAGTTATTGATAAACCTGTAAACAAAAATGTTTACAGTAATTCATTACGTAGTAATTGTGATAAACTTTCCGTATATACATTATAATATGTTTCACATAATACATATGCATACACGTGAAACAAATAATTGATGATGTCAATGATTTATAGGCTCTATATTCCATTATAATTTTCAAAGGTGACAGAATAAGCTTTCGATATGCTATTTTTGGCATATAGCTTATTCAGAAGTGTAGTTTAACTTTAATTTTATACAAATTCTAAAGTGGCCTTACGATTAAAGTGTATTCGTATCGTAACCATTTAACAGAGCACAAATTGAAAGTTTTAGAAGTCAAAATCCTTCAGTCGAAAAACACACACGAAGATATATTTGACATCGTAGTAGTTTACATATTCATATTAATTAATTAAACTTGTTTAAAGGTTTCTAAATTTTAAGAACATTAATTCTTACACGTTTTTCCAGCTAAAAATCTGGACAATAATACGGGTAATGCAATGAATTTTTTAAGATTATTGCGATTATTTCACAGAACACAATGCACCGTACCAAAGATGTCACAATAAGTTAAAAAATACTAATTCTAGCATACTTAGGATAAAATTATCTGAGTAAACTTAATTTTAATGAAAGTTTAAGCCTATGTCTCTGCTTCAAAAACTATAAAACGAAGCAGGAATAAAAAAAATTTTCATAATTTAAACCTTTAAACAAGAACGTTCACGTAGTTAAATTCATTATCATAACTATTTATCTATATACATATTAATCGACTGCCTTGTCTCTTCGGAGGTTATGACCTTTATACTGTTACATATAAAGCATTATAAACACATTGATGTTTCGTCACGCATTTTATCGGAATAGTATACACTTTTACATCAATTTGACGTCCTTTTGAAAGTTTTTCATTGGAAAAAGATAAGAATGATGTCAACGTAAGATTGCACAATATTTCCACAAAATAAGAACTCCCTTTAAATCAGCCATGGCCGACTTCTTCGGATTCAAAGGCCGCAACACGAAACTTTTGAAGTGGCCAGGGCCACACTTTAGGGAGTACTACGAACTCCCCACCTACCTCCTTTACCAAAATTTACAAACCAACTCTTCCCCATAACACTTGTCATAAGAGAACATAAATATTGGGAAATTAAATTATCATTGTCATTTATATATTGATATATATTTTACCGTAATTTATTGCTTGTAATGGAACACTGGCGCTCACGAGAACTAATCAGTTCTCGTAACTGGTTAGTCCAATGTTTATAACCGGTTCAAGAATGTATTTAACGCGATTATTAAAAAAAAATATTTGCTGAAATATGGCATTTTGATGTAATTTATCTCCGGATGCCCACGTGCCCCATAGATGTTCGATGGCGCGTTATAGCTTCACGGGGCCCCATTATAGCGTCGACTTCAGATAAAGTTTGGACTTCAGACTTCAGTTATGAAAGATGGTTTTGGGGATTTTCGCCCGTAGATAACGCGCCACTGTAGCATTTTGAAATGTTTAAAGGTACGGCAGACCGTAAGAAAGGAATTTCTTTCCGCTCCCATCTTCTTATATGTATTTATATATCAAATATTTGAAATATCGGTTAATTAAGTAGATGTATATAAAGTTTTTGTAAAGAAGAGGGAAGAATGTCCATTCACTTACCGAAGAAGACAGAGTTGAAAAAAGAAAATTAAAGTCATAAGCGCCGATATCTTCAGTGTTTCGATAGGATTTAAATTAAATATTTATTTATCATATTTGTCATTGTTGAGCAATGTTGGCAGGGTGCCAAGTGCGTACCCTTTAGAAAAGCGGGCGACATTCTACTACGTCTGATGAAATATTTACTCGGCATCAATATAACGACAGATTGCCGGGATTATTATTCTCATCTAGCAAGACGGAAGACGTATTTTCCATCTTAGAAAAAGATTCGATACAATTTTTTTTTCCAATTTAACTTATTTTAAGAATATGAATAAATAATTTACCTCTAACCGCTGCCTATCTGGTGACGTCAGAAGAAATTAAATACGTCATTTAATATAATGGCATCGTTGCTTTGGGCAAATATCCAGACGATAATAATGATAATAAAATTAATAATTATGTTTGAAAAAATAAAAAATAAAATAAAATTATACAAACTAAACTCGTTTGGCTTGAATGATCGTATCAATTTCTGTTTAAACAAATTATTATTTTATCGATTATCGTTAACGCGTCGTATCTATTCTTGATATCTATGAACGTTTCTTATCGTAAGAAGTAGCGTGGAAAGTTTTTTTTTTATTTTATTTTATTTTATTAACATTATTATGTTATGAATAAATGCATTTATTTATTCTATTTAATTATTTTTAAAAATATTTGAACTTTTTTATGTTGTGTCAAATTTTCGGCAGAGGGCGAACCAAAAAAATTATGTATTTATTTTTTGCGTGTGCTTATTTAATGTTGCCAGATTTTTTTTAATTTCTTGGCTTTTGTAATGTAAAACTTTGTTTAAAAAAAGAGAGTAAATTGTAAAAATCTTGTTGCAGATTTAACTAATTTTAAAATTCGCACGCTTCGATTATTGGATCGTGTAAAAAAACAAGTTTAAATTTTGTCGATAAAAACTACCTACATCTAATTTTTTCTGTTATTTTTAATAATATAATTAATAAAAAACTGCATTACCTAAAGTCTTTATGAAAAAGTTCTATTAAAAATATCAAAATCCATAATTTTTTATTTCGTTATTTTAATTACTTTACATTTTTTAAAGTAAATTTTTAAATATTCTACACGGCATACAAATTGGCTTTATAATTACTACGAAACTAATGCACGTTGCATAAATTATCAGAAGACAGTGTTACATTTGTTTTTTAAATTTTAAAATATTTAAATTACGTATTATTATAACTAGTTATTACGATATATATAATACGAACATCCGGTATAATTTAACATAAAAAAATAAATTATTTATTATTAAATCACAGGTTTTTTCATTTAGTTTAGATGGCGTATATTTATACGTCAATCTGACGTCATTGTTAGGTTTTATTCATTATAAAAATGCGGAAATGACATCAAAATGACGTAACGGAACCCAAAATCCCACCAGACGAACTTAGATTTAGTTTAAAGCGTAATATCATCTCTTTAGTAAAATCCAGTTTAATCGCGACATTAAATAACAAGATTTTGCACCGAAATGGTTTATAAATTGTATAAATATTTGTAAATACGATTATATAAACAAAAAAACGTCTATACAGCACACGAAGGTAAGTAAAGTATCTTGAGATTCTACCAAGTATTTGGGGATTGGTAAATAATTTTATTTTTCCAGGTAAAAATCCCATACCAATTAGGAAAAATATATATAAGAGTAACTCAGCTTTAAGTCTGTTTAATCATGTGAACTTTCTTCAAAAGATTCAAAAAAAAAAAAAGAAAGAAAGAAAAACTTTAATGTTGAAAAATTCTATAACTTCAAAAGGATGATGATAAAGAAGGTAATGATCATATTTCTTTCTTATAATCATATTTATATACAACATGAAATATAATTTAAGATATGTTTTATACCTTATTTAGAACACCTGACTGCAGCTTACTGTTGAATATTTCAGTAAGATTCATAATATATATATAGGCCTATATATATATATTTATTTATTTTATTTTTAAGTAATGCAATTTGGAGATGTTTCCTGAACACTTTTCATATTTCATTACTTAAAAAGAAAAATGTGTTTATTTTACTAATCAGAAAGTAGTAAAATATATAAATTTTTATAAGTTAATGGTAAAGTTTCATAATTGTTGAAAAATAACATTTTTTTTATCTATTTATTTAAATATATTTGCTAAACGTTAACGACTTCCATTCGTAATTAGCAAAAAGTAAACATTTTTGAAGCCAAAATGATATTTTACAGGCATAATCCAATTTAAATTAAAGATAAACTGAAATTATTACTTCAGGAATTATTTAAGAATAATATTTTTTCGTGCAAGTTACACTTCTATGCTTAATAAAAAGAATTATTTTTAAAAAGATAATTATTTGATATAAACTTTAAATTTCAATATACTGTATAGAAATCATTTAAATATCATTCTAATAAAAACAAGAAGCATTACACAGTGATCGTGTGGTTTTACCCTGCAGTTGTAGGGATCCTGATTCATTTTTGATTCTGTCCCCACAATTTATCTTAATTGGAGAGTTGCTGTCCCTTCTTCACCCATGCTGTTCGTCCATATGATTCGTGGAGTTCTCTAGGGACGAATCTAGACGGGGCAATAGGGACGATGGCCACCTAAGATTTACTTCTGGATTCTCTCTTTTGGTATCGTTACGCGATGTTATCCTATAGCATTAGGTGTCCCGATTCGAATCTGATCTTGATCCTGTTACTTTTCATGGGTCAGAGAAGTGTTATCTATTCCTCGCCAATGTTAGTTGCCTCACTGTAGATCAGGCCTATCCTTAATGGGTCAAATTACGACAATCCATGTAGCATTAATATGCTGATCATCGCATCAACTAATCGATCGTTACATAACAACATTAATTAATATTCAAAATAATTTAAACTTGGAGTATTTCTTGCAATGATTTATATTATTTTTACGTTATTAATCATAAATTAAGTAATTTATTCTTTCTCTTATAAAACATAATACTTTGTCATACGGTAAAACTAAAACACTTATTTTAATGAATTCGTGTTAAGAAAATTTATTAAAGTAATAATAATTCTAGCTTAGAAACAAATTTAATTTTTAAAATATAAATTCAAATTAATTTAATACATAAAAGTACACTTACTCATTTCTCATTAAACTACCCACACAAGTTTACTTTATACATGCATAATTATAATTAATAAATTGAAAAAATTCGATTTGAAAAACTCACGCCATACCCCGAAAGTACACTTTATACATAAAAAAATCACTTTGTGCCATTTAAAATAACATTTTAAGGAGTCTAAAGTGATTTTTTATATCTAAGGTTGTAAGAACGTCGAACACGAATCCGTAGGAAGTCTACTTAAAATGATACCAATAAAAAAATCGATCTTAAACTACCAAACATAAATTCTGTTCTTTAATAATATAAAATAAGTACAAAATTTTTTGTACATTTCTTTGAACAAAACACGTTGGCGAAGGTAGTTAGTAAACTGCAAGACGATAATGTGCAAGACCTGTGTAACAGGAGGGTTGTCCTTTAAAGGAAATGACGTAACAGTATCTTTGTCAAGCTCAGCAAACATTTTATGCACAGACGTGCAAAGGTGCAGTAACCTCGCTATTGATAATAGTAAACGTGGTAGTAAGAGAGAACGATCATTCAAAAAGGAAGGAAAAATAACTTCTAACAAGAGAAGGACGAACAGCTCAGCACTGTACTTAATCTTGAATGATGTCAATCGAACATAAATAAATCAATATAAATTGAAAAAATGTAGCGTGTATAACAGAAAAAAATACACGTTCTAATCAGTAATAGCTTTAAATATATTAAAGGTATTCCATTATTAACTCATTAATTTATACCTTTTTAGAGCGATTAACATAATTTAAAATAAATTTCAAAAAATTACTAAATGTTTAAAGCAATGTTTACTTATCTTTTCTAGCGGCACTATTAAATAATGTATTTCGGATCTCCTAGGGGATCCCGATCTACCATTTGGTAAAATTTACTTTAAAAAAAATAATAATAATTTCTTATTATTTAATATTACTTGGAAGACAAAAATCTAAGGGAAAAAAGAAAGAAAAAATATCATTTTTCCTTTCTTTTCTTCTTTTTAGTTGAGAGTAGTTGGCAAACTTATTTGGGAGATTGCCAAAATTTCTAACTACCAGGGATTGGTGTCCCTTTAGGGTAGCTGAAGTTTTCTCATTTGGTAGCACTTCACTTTGAAACTTCTTCATTTTTTTGTTTTATTTGTGCTTTTTCTGCTTTTTTAAGGAAGATTAAAAGCGAATCAAATATGGATTCAAGATATAACAAATTTTTTTCCCGACTTTAATGCAAAACAACGTTCATAAATCTGTTGTATAATTAAAATATTTTACTTTCTGAACTCCATAACCTAAAAACACGTATTTGTTTTGTTTTAAATTTTGTATTTCTAAGAGTTTGGTTCGTAATAAATCTCAATAATGGATTAAAACTCCTAGAAAACAGCGCAATTTCTTTAAAGGATTTTATTTTATTTTTTTTAAAGAAATTGCGCTGTTTTTTTAGATATTTTAAAGAATTCTTTAGAATTTATAAAATTAAAAAGAAAGTTTTAAAAAAAATTTCTTTTGGGATTTTGATCTTTAAAAAAAAACAGAATCAGTATTCCTAGAAAACAGCACAATTTCTTTAAAACGTTTTTATTTTTCAGCAGTAAATATTTTAAACGCCTTTTTCTAAAATTAAAAAAAAAATTAAAATAATGTTTAAAATATTCGCGAAATCCTTTATTAGAAACTGCATTATTTTCTAAGGATTTTAGTCCTTGGAAGCAATTGATTAAGGATAAAAAAATCTTAGAAAACAGCACGGTTTTTAGCATACATACGTTCTAATAATCACAATATTTGCTCGCTCATGGCTAGGATATTGCATAAAATATACGCAGTCACGAAAGCAATATCATCTCGTATAATACTGTACATTATACAACAATATCATAAAACTAAAAATAATTTATAAAATATATAAATATTTCTAGCACGGTCGCATTTCTGATTCATGCAATTCCCCGAAGGATGGGAAGAACTTGGACTTCTTTCTTGTCTTTGCGCCTTTACATAAAGATTATTAATATTATTGTTCATCTTGCCCGAAAAAATATATAAGTCAAATTTACATTTTTTATTAAGTTAGTTATGTTATAAATATATAATAAGCATTGTTATATTGTTCGTTAATTAAAAAAAACACAAATTATAATTAACGTGAGGCTTGTTCAACGTTATTTGGTTACTAAAAAATGTAGAGATGCTGGCATAAATTCTGTAATTAGAATTGGTTCTTTGTTGTATTTTATATATAAAGTGGTAAAAAAGTAATGAAAATTTATGAAATCATATTTTATTTTTAAGTAAATTCCTTTAGACAAATATTAAAATTGATGTTGAAAAATAATATTCGAGAAAGTTCAATAATTCTCTCGTCTTCTTCTGGAAAAACCTTCAGGATTTTTGCTGATGATGAAAACGAAAATATCGAACTTCAAGGATATGTTTTTAAAAAATAAAATTTTAAAAATTTAATAATATCGAAAGAAATAAGAAGAAATTAACTCGTATTGAATTTAATATTGGAAAAATATTCTTGTTTAAAAATACTTTTTTGTATATTGATTACGATCTTTTCATTTTCCACTTATTTTTAAAAATATTTTTAAAGTAATATATAAATTTAATAATAATAATTCGCAATATTTTTTATTATTTTAACCAAATTTAACACTGTTCAGAACAGGGACAGACTGGATAAATACGAGATGAATAGGGGTAGTTTCAAGGGAAAAATATTGAAAAATTTGAAGTAAAATTGTAAGAAAGCTGTAGTTTTTTCGGTTAATTAGTTATAATTTGAATATTTTTAAAAATAAATATACTAAAATTTGTTTAGTTTGATGTTTTGATAGTCGAAAATGGTATCGAATATCGCTCGTTATTGAATAGTTTCTTCTTTTACTAGCGAAGAATGCATAAATCATTATAAATTAATAGCTTTAAATTCGCCGAACATAATTTACTACAAGAATATAACGAGACATTTTATTTAAAAGACTATTCTTAAACAATTCCGGACATTTTATTTAAAATTTTCTGCAAAGGAAAGAAAAACATATCCAATTCTTAACCTTGAGGCATCCTCATTAACGTTCGTAATTACTAAATTGTTTTAATCTTCGACCTTCAGTTAAATTAACTATTAATCATTTATTTAAGATATCCGTTAATTGCTTCGACTGTTCTTCAAAATTTTTGAAGATTTTTGTTTGAAATTCGTTCCGAAATCAAATTATACTTAATGACGATAATGATAATGTTTGTTTGGCATTAATTAAAATTAAACTGTAAACAGAATTTCACTCAAAAGTTTATATGATTAGAAATAACTCGAGTATAATATAATATGATAAATTATAAGTAAATAGATTTAACACGTCTTCGAGTCTGGTATGCAAATTAGTTCGTTCGAAACGTTCTTTACAGTTTTATTAATTAAAGTTTAAAAGTTTTGATTAGAAAAGTTGAATAAGTCGGAAAAATTGGATCTTAAACTCCAGTGAAACTATTTTTAAGATTAAAAAAGTCACTAATTAAACCTTGCTTTAACGTTGTTGAACTTTGGAGCGTGTTTATGAACATTGAAGAACTTTGGAATTATATTTTTTTTACGCTATATTATGTTTACGCTGCGTTAAAACATTAGTTTAAATGTTTTATTCAAATCACAATTTGTGCAAAGTTCATTTTCTAAATATCTTTAGACCTTCGAGAAGAAAACTTCCTGAGGGGGAAGAAACACTTCAAGGCACACCTTCGGGGCCTTTCGAGGAAAAACTTCCCAAAGGAACAACTTTAAACCGTATCTTCAGGCTTTGAAGGAGAGAAAAACATTACGAAAGGTCCATTGAGGTTCATATTTAAGCTTTTCACTTTACGTGGAAAATCCCGAAGATGTAGGCATTAGCAGATTCATCTTTAAAACGTTTCACGGGAAGATAAGCCTCAAACGCCCTAAATTCTTAAAGAATGAATTTTAAACACTATTAGTCAAACCTCCGAACAACGGACACTGACGGGAACATAAAAAATAGCTCCTGTTTGGAGTTTGTGCGCATTTTTGTTAGAAGAAAAAAAATCCCGAAAGAAATGGCCACTGTTTACAGGTGACCGTTATTGAAGGTTTGAAGAAAATGCTTCATTTCACGATTTAAACAGTTGTAGTCTGTTTTAGGTGCATTTAAACTTTTTACGCAATAAGTGCAGTTTTATTCTACAAATAATTTAATTAAAAAATTGTTGAAGGTTGAGAGATTTTTATAAACTAATTAATTTTTACTTTCAATTAAGATTTGTTTATTTTTTTAATTTTATAATTAAAAATAATTATAGAAAAAGAAAAGCGTGAGAACGGAATTTTTGCGCATTATTTTGCCCTGATCTTCAATAATAATAATAAACATGTTTAAAATTATATAAATGTAAGCTTAATTAAAAGTACATTAAAAACAATAAATCTCATTTTTAAAATTAAGAATAATAATTAATTTAAAACGTAATTAAATTAATGAGTCTTGTTAAAGATTAACCTTTAAAAAATTAGATTTAAAATTAAATATAATTAAACAAAAATTGCATTTTTATTTTAAGAAATTTTTAGTTAAAAAAAATACAAAAAAATAATTTTTAAAATCTAATTTTCAAAATACCAAAAAAAAAATAATTAAAAAATCAAATAAAATAAAAATTGTATTTTTACTTTTAAAAATTTCAATAAAAATATAATTAAAAGTAAAATAAGTAAAAAACAATAACAATTTAATTTTTATCTAAAAAAAATTAAATTCTTTTAAAGAAAAGAAAAAATAAATACTAATTAATAACATTTGAAACTATTTTAAAACATTAAAAGGAAAAAAATAAATTCAATTGAGGGACTAACAACATAAAAGAATAATTTAAAAAATAATAAGGATTAAAATTCAATTTAAAATAATAAAATTAATTTGGTATTTAAATTTTAATAATCTTTTTTAAACATTAAAAAAATATCATAAAACTAAAAATA